TACCCATGCCAAAATGAATGTCATGAATAATGGTGTATATTACAAACTGGGAAATGAAATCTGTAAGGGAGGAAGCAGCAGACATTGTTAGGGTGTGAACATTGGTTTAACTGACACATCTTGGTACTAGCGGATCCAGGATTTAATTTTGGGATGCTTCAGCGCGAAAGCTACTTTTTTATATAATGATAATTACTTTGGAAAAAAAAAAGAAACTATCTATATGAAATAGTATTTAAGTGATTCTTGCAGACCTATTAAATGTAATTACATGAACAATAATACTTTAAGAGATATTTTTGTACAATTATACCATGTTTACATTTTACCATTTTGGAGGGAGGGGAAGAGAGCTTCAGCCCGAAAGCATCCTCTCCCCCATAGATCCACCAGTGCATTCTGGATAAATTCAATTTTAAAAAATAAAATTAACTATATACATGGTTAGAGGAAGATCATTGTTGACTACACTGTTTCCCAATGGTAAAAGGTCAAGAATCAGGCTGCTCTATTTCTTTTTATTTGTACATTAATAAAATCTTTGGCCAAAAAGCAGAAATAATTACTTTTTACTAAATGAAAGTTGATTTGCCAGTTGATGGTATAATCTTGACTCAACATGCTTATTACTTCTACAAGTTTATGCCCTTGAGCAGTGCAAGGACAAAGCTAGCCAAAATATATATGTGTATTATATTATACTTATATAAGTAAATAGTTAAAACAAAATTATGGAGGATTTTACTAAACGAAAAAAAAAAAAAATGGCTAGAAATTTCTCATCATCTAAACTCTGTCGCCCGAGACAAGTGCCCTGCCATCTATCCATGTGACAACAAATATCTTACCTTAAAGGTTTGAAAGGATTTTTAATAGAAGAACAAACGACTGTATTTACATTATTAATTCAAATTATATGTTAGTAAAAAGGAAATTCTGCACAAAAAATACACGTCTTTGTAGAAATTTCTTTTTCTTAATTTATAGAAGAACAAACGACTGTATTTACATTATTAATTCAAATGATATGTTAGTAAAGGAGATTCTGCATAAAAAAATACATTTTTTTGTAGAAATTTCTTTTTCCTAATCTGAAAATTGGAACAAATGCCCGTCCCAAATTACACTAAAAAAATCGGGAATGCTCAGAAAAAGTCGGTAGGGATTATCATTATAGTTTATGCAGGACAAAAAAAAATAAATAAAAATACATTGGGTTATAACGAGAATATTTATTGAAAAAAAATTTGAAGTACACAAGTGTTTAGTGATCCATTAAGGAAGAAGTTAATTTATAAAAAAATTAACTTCAAAACTTTGAATTGTTTTCTAAAGGTTTTTTTTAGATGGAAAGGTTGTTTTTTTGGATAAAATATAAACGCAATTAGTGGGATTGTAGTTCAATTGTCTTGAAAGTGGTTATTATTTTTAAAATAGGATAATTTTTAATAGGACTATTTTTAGTTCTATGTATCAATCACAGGCAGATCTACGCCTCTCCTCCAAAAAATGGTAAAATGTAACCATATTTTATGGTAAAACATTATTTCATAAAGTATTATTATTCATGTAACAAACAATCACTTAAAGACCATTTCATATATGTAGTTAGTACCGTTCTTTTTTTGCCCAAAGTAATTATCTTTACACATATATATATATAAAAAGCTTTTGGGTTGAAGCCCCCCAAAAAAATTAAATTCTGGATCCGCTAGTGTCATCAATTGTCAAATTTGAATCATTAAAATATTTGCATGATTGCAATTTTTTTATTTTCGTTTAATTCGAACGTTCCATACATCATGGATGTCTTATAGTCGACTTTTTTTTTTGTTATTTGCTGTTTTTTATCGAAAATATTTCAGCTGAAAAAATGAAACAATTTCTTTGATCATTTCAAAATATAGCCCTAATTTTTTTTTATAAAATTATTATTTCATAAAATGATTGCAGATTGATCTAAGTAGCATTGTATATAAAGATATCTTCATTCAGTTTTTTGTCAGGAAAAATTCGTATATCACATTTTATATTTAATAAAACAAAGTTACTTTTTTCTGAAGTTCTTTAATAATTGTATTGACATAGTTTATATAAGTACCCTGTATGCACACACTTATAAAAATATTGGCACGGCATATCAATGGTTGCATGATATTACTTCCCAGAAGTTATTCATTTCTACGTTTGTTCTTCCCTAAGTATAAAATAAGCATATGATGAAAGTTATGTATGTTTTTTAATGAAACTAATACTAAGAAAAGTTTGAAATTCTTTTAAATCATATTTTTTTTGAGGTTGCTGATTTGAGGTTTTCATGTCGGAAGAAAGATGCTAATTTGACTGTTTTTTTAAATGACTATTCAGGATTCTCCATTTCTGTAGTTTTTAAAACTTTGTCTCTAAGACGTGACTGTATTTTTAGGATGGATTAAACATAATTGTTAGTAACCAATACTAGCTTCTGCTATACATTTTAATAATGCATTCATTTCAATAAAATTTCTTCTAATATGAGATACTAAAAAACTGGAATTAATATATAACTAACCAATTTCTATTAAGTATGGTTTAATGCGCCTACAGTTAATTTAATATTTTAATGTTCTATCCTAAAATAAATAAACTAATTCTTTGCAGTATAGTTTCTGAAATTTAAATAAAGGAAAATCAAATTATTTCAATGAAGCATAATTGAACTTGACTTGATAGAGCATAATTTGTATTAGTCATACATGGAGTAGTAAATGCTGATTAATGATTATTTTAAACAGTAATAATATACAGAGATTTATGAAAATGTTTTGAGCTTGATAAACTAACATTTATATTACTGTAAAAATTATTGGTAGTTTAAAAAAAATATTAAGGGGGGAGAAGAGGGGGAATGAAATTCATAAAGTAAGTAATGAATATACATTAATTTACTCACATATTTTTATATATTACTGAATAAAGAAAGGGCTAATAGAAACTAACGTTATTGTTGCTAAAGAAATAAACTTCATCAATGGTGTTCATTGTTTAGAAATATTGAATTTTTTGTTACAGTGCACTTAAGATTTAGTTACATAATTTTATCTATCAAAACTCTATATAATGAAAGAACGATAAAATACCAATCAATATAGCCAAATACAGAAACTATTAATACAATCTGAAATGTTTTTAGTGTTGAATAACTACATGAACAATTGTAGATTTCTTAATGAAATTAAAAATATATGTAATAAAATTACTAATATTACTATAATTATGAATTAAAGTTGTGTTTGAGTGAAAATTGGTGAACCATATTTAATTAAAAAATAAAGATATCATAAGTTAATGGTATCAGATTCTTATTTGTGGTTAAATGATAGGGAAATTAGTACATTGCTATTGAAAAACATCTGTGAATTTTACAAAAAGACAGGAGCTATGAAACTGAGAAGTGTTTTTAGTAACAATATATGGAGCTTATAAACTAAAATCTTTCCATTCTACTGTATGAATGAAACAATGAAGACATAGTTACTAATTACTCCTCCAAAGTCTTGGCTATTGTGTTATATTTGAACCATAATCAAATTTTTCCAGCATTATCTTAAATATGGCTTAAATATATAAATTCCAACAGAATAATATAGTGTAAAAATATGATTTTTAGATGTTATATTTAATGTATGTATACCATAAAATCTATTTCAACTATTAATGAACAGATATTGATTAGTGTAATGTTATTGAATAAAATAATGATTAGTTTTTGAATGGAACAATATTATTTTAGGGCTAAGAAATTATCCCCTCAAATATTTCTTAGGGTTAAAACTTACCCAAATATCTCTTTGGGCCATATACTAGCATAACCAAGAATTTAAGTAATTATTATATTTGGGCTTATTTTATGCATGGCACCACTATAACTTTCAAGGTATTAAGATCACTTTTTACATTTGAATGGAAATTTTCTGGAATTTTTTTTAAATTTTTACTTCCATACTCTTCAAAGTTTTAATCCAGACTATTTATTTATTTCATTAAAATTTAATTTCAAGTTTTTGAATAAATAAATGTATTTATTACCAATTCCAAAAATAAAAATCAATAGTATTACATTTGATAATAAAATTCATAAATATTTAATAGCACCTATTGAGTATCAGAATGTGACACTGTAGCAGGATTCAATATACAATATACGCATGTACATGTAATAAAAATTAATTATTTCTTTGACAACCTGATCAAAATAAGGCAACATAAGATGTCCATGAGAAAAATGGCCCTCTCTAAAGTTGAATCAAATGTGCTTAAAAGTTTGTCAGTGCCAAGCCCTTACCCATGATTTTACTTCAGTAGAGACTAATATTGTCATAGTCCTTAAACGTTTTCCTCTCTTTAGTTTTTATAAGGTGTCAGTTTGTTTAAAATTGAAAAGAAAAATAACACCTTTTCAAAATGAGCAATTAATTTATATTCCACACTCAAATATTGACTTTCTAATGTATATTAGGAAAACATTTTTTTTGGAAAGAAAGATATTGCTCACTGAGGAAGGCTTTCTGACATCATGATAAGTTCCATAGGAACATGGCAGTAACCATAAATGTTAATGAATCTGTAAAATTATAGGCCATTGTTGTTCTAGCACAGCTTGAAATAAATCATGATCGAGTGATTATTATAAATAAAGGGTAGGACAGAAATTTGAAGTAGAGATTCATTAGCAGAGTGGTCCCTCCTCACTCATAAAAATCGGAAGAAAGACACTGATTTCACTTATGAGAATGCTGTGAGATCATGATGATCAAGAGTGTTAAGGCATTATAACATTAGCAACCTCGAGTCTGATTTAAATATTTGCTAGATAGGTTGAAATTCATTTTGTAACAAACCCAACAAACAAACTATACAACTTTATACAAACTTGATAAGATGAAAACCTTTAAATAAATCAGTATAACAATGAGAAAATAAATACATGACAGGAGAGAAGGTAATATAATATTAACAAATCTCATATTAACAATTTATTACAAAATATCAATAAAATTTGAAGTTCAAGTAAATTAAAATACATTATTTCTTAAATTAGTTATAGAACACACTTATAAAAAATGATAACTACAGACGGATTCTGGTTTCTTTAACTTTGTCACACTTTACAAGTTTAACAAGATTCTGGAATTATCCTCTAACAACACATATTTCTTGTACAAAAAGCAAAAACATTACAAATATTTTCTTCAGTCAACATGAAAGTCAATAAAACCTTTTATACTTTCATTTGAGGTTTTGTTGAGAGCCTCAATTAATATTTCACCTTGTCTAAAAAAAAAAAAAAAAAAAAAAGGCATACTTTATTTTAACATAACTAGAATAAATTTATTCTCTAGAAATAATAAACAATATCAACTGTTCTATTAAAGAAAAATGCTTTAAGGATCTTATTTCTCCACACACATTATGATAAATAATAATATTATTCATAATCCTTGTGTTTATTTACCATCTCTACTGACAAGTAAGCCAAACTGATAAGGACATACTCACTAGAAGTTGATCAATCTATGCAATCTATCTATTGCAATGTCAACATTATATTGAAATCACATTAGAGAAGTTCAAATTATAATTTCTGTTACTATGATCTAACAGCTAAAAAGTTTCAAAAATAAAAACAGCAGAATCCACTTAAATCACCAAAAAATAAGTGGAAAGTGGATTTTTACTAACCTGGTACAGTTATTAATGACTTAATTTTTAATAATTATAAAACTAAGATAATTTATTTCCAAATAGTAGAAATATAATTATTGGATTTAAACAGAGCATAATGTCAGTGGAAACAGAAATTACAAATCAAACTAAACATTGAAAATTCTGTACTGCTACTACAGAAAAAAAATCTGGTACAGTGCACACATCACACACAACTTTTGCTAATCGACTTTAGAGTAGATATGTATTTTTTTATAGGAAGTGGATGTGAAAACAACGGTATAACTTCATTTAAAACAATTAATTACCATATTTTTCCAGCCCATCGAACAAGTTAAATTTATACATTTGCATCACTTTCCATTTTCTTGTACGACTGTGTATAGTATCAAAAAATACTAATGATTGTGGGGGGGGGGAAATGGATGTTTTGGAAAAAAATCTTTTTATAGGAAAAGATTTTTACAGAAAACATTCATCACGAAAATTATCGAAAAAATATCTTAACATTAGTAAATATTAAATATTATTAGGTTTATATTAGTTAGTAAAGCCTAAGCATTTTGGGTGAAAACCTTTTTCAAAAAATTATGGAAAAGTAATACATAAAAGTTGAACTAATAATATGAGAGCCCTATACAGAGAGGTATGGGTAACAAATTAATACATGGGGAGGTCAAGGAAAAAGCTAAACAGCCAAGCTTTCTACATAGCTAATACACTATAAGTTCCAAATAACAGAGTCCCGCAAAATGGTCTGTGTGTGGGCGTGGGGGCATGCGCATTTGAACAGTGTAGCTCAAAAGTCAGTACATATTCGTATATATAAATCAAAATTGCATATTTAAGGTTTTTATATTCTTGGGATGTTATAGAAACTTTTTCATCAAAATCAGCTTACCAGAAGTGGTACTTTATATCATGGGCTAAACACAATTTTATGATTTTATCAAAAATAGCTCGAACGATTTTGATTAAATTCATTATATCAGTGTAAAATTAAGTAGTTTTAAATAAAATGTAGGTTTCATTTTGATTGATGTTATCTAACAGGGCTTAAATGGCTAATTTTCAAAATTAGCTTCCCCTAAAGCACCTTTAATTCTTTTTATTTGAAACAATTGACCATTTTACATTCATCTCTAATATAAAATATGAAAGAATTTGATAATTAACTAAAGGAGAAATAAGAGATCTTATCGGAGAATAGTTGTAAATAAGGAACCAGAAGAATACGAGCTCGCCCAAAAGATTAGAACACGCTTCCATACGTAACATGAGCTTAATATAATAAGGACTCCGACAATATTATGTAAATATACATATGCGATTTTCATAAATGCTATTGTTGGTATTATTTAATATTTAATTGTATAGATTACAGAGATATAAATATTAAAATTTGTATATATATAAGGGTACTTATATAAATAAAAATACCCACAATGAAATATAAATCAATATAGCGTTTATAATTTTTGTTTTCACTTCTCCTTTGTCTCAAAATAGTTATTTCTGCTAATAAGTGGGTGGTAAGTGAAAGTTGTGTGATGCATTTTTATAGTAGTTTCAAATGTGAAATGGTTAATTATTTCAAATAAAAAAAATTGAAAGTACTTTAGAAGAAGTCATTTTGAAAAATTGGCATTTAAGCCTTATCAGGTTGCATCGATGAGGATGAAACCTAACTTAAATCAAAAATCACCCAATGACACACTGACCTAGTGAATTTAATCAAAATCGTTAAGCTGTTTTTAAGAAAATTGTAAAAATGTATTAAATCTTAAATAAAATAAAATATAAAGTACCACTTCCGGTTTGCCAATGTTGATGAAAATTCTGCTGTAACATCCCACGCATATATATAATATAAATATATAATTTCAGTTTAGTACAACTTTCATTTTTGAGCTAGGCTGTTCACACACACACCGAACCTTGATTGGCATTCTATAATCACTAATTACATTTTTCTGATTTAAGAATTTCTAACAGCTCCACTTTTTCTTAAGGAAAAGGCTTAACTAAAAGGATTTGTTTTGTAATTGTAATAGAATAATTATCAATCTATTATATTAATATATTATTATATTAATAAAGCAAGTTTTCTTTTCTTTGTTAAGTACGACATCACAGTAACTTCAAACTATCGGATGATATAAGAGCAATTCAAACTTAAATTGTTATTAGGAAAACAATCTAAGGCAGGTTCTAAGAATTCAACAGTTTAAATTCCACTGTATGATTGTTTAATACTTATGTAATTACAAAAATATACAGTTTATAGAACTTTTAATTAAATATATGTTGTTAAATGAAAAGGAAAAATAGATATGAGTGATACTTACGAAGTCACTTTTAAATTGACTTTTAATTCTGAAGGTACATCGATATCAAGTTTTGTCTAAAAAAAAAAAAATTGTGTCATTAGTGCATATTAAAAATTCATTCAATAACAGAATATTGATTCAAATATCTATCTGAAGGAAACACTTAAAATGAAATTCAATACTTTTACAGAGGTCACATAAAGTTTAGAAGAATTTAAAAAAAAATATTTAATCTGGTTCCAGTGTGCCCATCACTTGACTTTTACTTACCATTCATACATAGGCAAATATACCCTTCTTTAGGATAGGGTAGATTAGACCCAAATTTCATGCCTCTGGTGTACTTTCTTGTTCTCATATTTTCTAGATCAGTTATAATAGCTTGCCTATGTGGTCCCCTTCACTATCTATAAAAATTTCTGATAGTAGACAGTCTATCCCTGGGGTCTTTCTAATTTTAAGCCGGTCAATAGCAATTCGAATATCAAGTAGATATTGTTTTACAACTTGTGAAATTTTTGTTTATACACTACCCTTTCTTTCTGATGGCTGCATAGAATTCATCTATTTTTTCAGTATGCTACATATCCTCAATGGTTTGCAACCTTTCTTTGAATATTTTTCTAATCTTATATTTTTTTCCGTATTTTTCTTGATGACTGTATAATTGTAATCGTTCATAGTAGCTTAATTAGTTTTGGCTAGGCAGAGGACTTCCATTTGTCTTCTTTTCTCCACTAGTTTTTCACATACTTCTAATTCTAGTTATAGATACACATACTTCTAGTTTAAATTTGGCCTATACATAATGTCTTACAGTGATTCACCATGAGGCAGTCTGAGGCCAAGGAGTTCTAATTTATTTTTCGCCTACACCAGGATTTTTCAAATTATGAACTTTGTATCTCCTTTTTTCTACTAGATCCACTGTTTTGTAGATTTTCTTCAATCTCTGACACTGTTTAACTCAAATCAATGTGGTCCAAATCATAAGTTTCTTATATCGTAGACGGAGCTCTGATAAAAGTACCTTTGGGACCGACCCGGGTGTACTTGTGGATTTCATCTTTCATAACTCCACTAACAAAGCTTCTATAGGGAGTTTATTAATCAAGCTGAAGTTAGGTAAAAGGAAGTGCACAGATGCGATCTTCTTAGAGCTATAATGTCAATATTCTGTTATTATGCTAAATCTATATTTATATCAATTAGTGCAACATTTATAGAAATATTAAATAACTAGCACGATTTCCAATACATCACAGCTATAGATTTCTGTTTCCTTCCTTGTCAGAAGAAGACATCACATTGATTGCCGAGGGTGGACAAATGTGAACATTTTCACATGATTGAAGATTTACTTTAATAGCAATATCACAATACAAATGCAAAGCTTCACAATATGAAATCCAATTTTTAGTCATATTGTTATTCTTACTTAGTATTATTGCTAAATTTGTAAATATAAGTCAAAGAGTTGATCAAATATACCAGGTCATTATTTATCATATATTTAGACGGTATGGTGTTTAACAAAAAACACCTGAATAAAAACATAATAGTGAATAAATACAATTTTTAATACAAAAAATCAAAGTAAAATTAATCAAATGACAAACATTCTTGACCAGGCAAGTTTTTATCTATCCTATAATAATGCTCCACCTAGGCTAGTGCCAACAAGAGGCTATATTGAGGTGAGATTTTCAAGATCCTATCTAAATAGGCAGCTATCACAATGTTAACACTTTGACGTTATTGTCAGTGAAGGGAAACCAAATACGGAAGCATGTTTAGCACAAGTAATCATTTGTGATATGTGTTAGGCAGAAAATTGGATCTATTGAATTTAATAAAAACGTCCAAAGCCAAAAGAGATAACATAAGTGAGTTATGCTGCAGTAATGCAGCAAAAATTGACAAATATTTTGTCCCTGCTAAAAGACAACTAAAAAAAAAATGATATGTGAATAAAATGCTTAAAACAAACTTTAACATGTATTACTTTAATTTCAATTCCTTAATTTGTATTTCAAATAAATAAACTTACTTTTCCTTCAACTGAACCTTGGTTTACAGATATATTGACAACTTCTTCATCAGCTCTAATATTCAGCTGTTTGAAACTAGGAATAACATTTTTCTCCAGTGTTATCTCTTCATTATTCAGCTAAAAAATAAAGTTGTGTTCAAGAATTATGTAATTATTATTGCTAAAGAAAAAAAAATTATCAGTTTTGAATAGTTTCCTAAAATCAGTGAGATGGGAAGTCAATGGAACAGTGGTCAAACTAATGTCACATTATAGTTCTCTAGTTAAATCAAGTAATTTCATGTCTGTTAAATATGGGTGACACCTGCTTCATTCATACACATGATGAGTACACAAAAGGACCACTCATTAAATGGACTGACTTGAAAAAAAATGTCTATGGTTTGATGATTTGATCCTAAGTTCATTTATAAATACAGTTGGTATAATAAATTTGTAAAAAATAATTTACTAGATATTTTTTTTTGCGTTTTAACGTAAAACACAAATATAACAATACAAAAATATAACATAACATTGATTATTTCAAACTAGTTATTGATTTCAAAATCTAAAATAATTATTTTTTTTATACCTATTCATTTTTCTCTCAGGTTAGCTTACTTTTAATCTGATATACCAACATTGCAATTTCATTATTTGTGGTATTATTAAATTGAATATGTATTGAAGACAATGGATGGATCAATTTTGAAAAGCGGTGGGAAAAGAGTACACCACTTCCATAGGGTACTTCTTACCTACCTAGTTACACCACTGAATATGTTATTTTTAAAACAATTTAAAGCAAAATTGCAATACTTCAAATGATAGCTTTAACTCTTTCTTCTTATGTCATAACTACGTACTGATTTTCTCTGCAACATATAGTTGCCTATGGGAAAATAGTCATCTCTTAAGGCGAATCCAATATGCTCTTTATAAAGATTGCAAACGATATTTATGGGAAGATGAGCTAGCATGATTCCCATAACATGTTTCCAGATTTACTGACATTTGTGCTTATTGCTTTGTATCTATTGGTTAAAACACAAAAATGACTTTAATTTTTTTCTTTTATTCAACTTTAATATTTTATTTTTTTTGTTCATAATACTTGCATTATCCGTGTTTTTTTTTTCAAATTGTTTCAATAATTTTACAACTATCAATAGATATAGAATATTCTGTTTTACATAAAAAACCTATTTAATTCAAATGTAACAATCGTTCTGAACTAATTGCATTAGTAACAAAATCAAAAACCCACCAGAGACTCGTATCTTGTCTAAGAGAGGATGAAAGCCTTCTAAAAAGGTAATAGTTCAAATAATTTCTTATAATACCTTCATAATAACTGGAGATGCTAAAAATGGAATTTCTTCAGCTGATTTTAATGCTATTCCCAAATTACATATAAGCCCAGCTTGTTCGGCTGCACCACATGCTAAAACTTCATCAGGTGGTATGGAACAGAGTGCTTCACAGTCAAAAAATGAACTGACATGTGAACGAATTTTTGGTATCTTGAGACATCCGCCACTTAATATAATCTAAAACAATCACAACAGAATACTTATAACAATTACTCTCTACCATTTATAAGGAAGTTAAACATAAATATATAAATTTATTTTTATAAAATAAATACAAATAAAATTCACAAGGAAACTGAAATCTGACAAAAATATGGCCTTCGAGATCAGAGGAAACACTAACATCCTCAATAACCTAATCAATCATTTTATAATACTTAAATTTGTATTTACTTAAAAAAAAAATGCTTTAATTTTTATCAAAACAATTAATTCTTCAAAATGATGAAGCTTTAACTAGAGTTAGGTTGTGACAGGTGACAAGTGAAGACAGTGACAAGTTGTTCCTCTATCCTTAACTTTAACTATACTTTTTATCTCATATTTCAACTAATGATGAGTATCATGATTCAGATTTTATTAAGAATTTATAACAATTTCATGAAACTCTCCTAATAAGTCAAAGAAATTAATTACCTAAAAAGACTATTTTATAATATTTATATGAAATGTAAATGATGAGGATTTTCTTGAACTACTACTGTTTTTAAATTTCTGTTGTCACTACTGTGTACATTAAAAACATTTAGTTAAAATTATATATTTAATTAGACTGCTTATAATATATTGAACAAAATCATAATTATGCTTTTAATAAATCTAACATAATAATTACTCTAAATTTAGAGATCAATTACCTTGGAAATATCTGATGCTTTCAAGTTTGCTGCTTCCAATGCTTTGTGAATTGGTTGAGAAAAAGCGGGAAGAAGTGGACTGAGTAGTGAATTCAAACGAGCTACCGACACACTTACGTTAAAATCAACTCCTTCACAAGCAGATTCAATGAAACGGGAACACATTGGTACAGTAGAAAGTGTATGTAACATAGACTGAGCAGCAACTCGGAATTTCCAAATAGATTTACGGCTCTCTGTTGGATCTAAATAAAATTTCCTGAAATTTCAATAAAGCAATATCCAATTATAATGATATCATAGCACCTTTGCCAATAGTATTATATTACTGTAATCAATCCAGAAACTTCTGATACCACACCATGCAGCATTGTAAAATACTTTAATAAACTTAGTCCTTTGAATTGAAATTTATTGTATTAGTCAATAATAATTTTTAAGTGAAACAGCTTTATTTCAAAATAACTATTGAGATATATTTAACCATAGTGAGGAATTGCCTTTCTAGATATTTTTAAAACAGGACTTAAAAAAAATAAAATAAAATTTTTGACTTAATCATTTTTTAAAGCAAGTAATCTAATCAAGTTAGGGATTTTTGATAATAGGGCTGTACAGTGAATTTTGGCTTTAAAATAAACTAAGAAACAGAAAACACCTTGTGATTCTATAATACAGTAAATCCACATTTTACTAGATGTTTATAAAGCTGACTGTCCACTGAAAGCGCAGCTGAGCTGAGAGCAGTTGAGCGGTGTAGCAGTACTCAGCTTCTTCCACCATTGTCAGGCTTTGTTCCTCAGTGCCATCCTTTTTTTTTCAGCTTGTTTTCACAGTACAACCTCACAAGCTATTTTATTTTGGTACATTATAAAGTATGCAATGGATGTGGAAGAATTCTTAATCAAATGTGTAAGGAAAAATATTCAATTTTTTTTTTTCAACTCTGACATAATCAACTTTTCTATTTTTTAAAAATGTAATATGGAATATGAGAAGGGTACCAATGCAAGGCAAGTTGCTGACAGAGCTGAGCTCCGCTACGCAGTCGGTTGCCAACCCCCTCTTGCTACGCTCAGCTCAGCTGCGCTTTCGGTGGCCGATCACCCTAAAGGTGTAAGGTGGAAAGATGAACTTTCTGGTAATTGTCACAGTGTGCTTTAGCAAGAGAGATTATTTCTTTTAAATGATCTACAGTAAGCCAATGAAGGATGGATGCACTAGATGATCGAAAATCTGGCAAAAGTAGTTTAAGGATCCAGTATTTAGGTAAGATGAGGAAGACAGAAAAAAAACAATACTTGACAGTTTAATAAAAAAAATAAAATAAAAAAAGGTTAAGTTAAAATTAATACTAATATTTTAATTTTAAAAACCTGGCAAATTCTTCTACAAGATGATCTTTTAGTGCTGTTACTATCGTTTGTCCTCCTGTTTGACTTTCAAAAGAACTGAGTGTGGAATACAACCCAGACTCAACTTTAATAACTGATGCCTCACAGCTAATACCTCCCAAACGATAGACCAAAACATTCCTGGAATAAAACAAGAGATATACTGTATAAAATATGCCATGGAAAATGTCAGTATTACTTTCTTATTGGTGCATATATACATATATAATAAAATGTTTTACAGCTTCATTATCATTATGTAATATATACCTCTTATATATATACATAAATATCGAAAAAAACAATTATTGTTTTGAATTTTGATTTGCTCTTTCGAGCTTTTTTCGTTCTCAGTAAAGTTGAGCTCTTCCAGAATATGGATTGGCACATTGTTTTTTAGACTTCCATCACTGTTTCATACAGTGGATGATTTGCATTGAGCATTATAGGTGTAGAGGGGTGTATATTGAAGGTGATAATAAATAAATATATATGGAATCAAAATAAAATATTTTACATCAGTCTTATTATTTAACAGTCACATCCTTTTTATAAATACATATATAATATAAATAGACAAGCATGTATGGACATGCCCAAACAAACATTTTTCCCATTAAAGTACAATTTTGTAAGCATTGGTTATTGGTTCATACTCTCCATGTCTATTATACTCTTTAAATAAATCATAAAAAAATTCAGTAATCCACTATACTTTACTTTACTAACTTTAAAAAAAAAAAGATGGAAGGAAAAGTGGGTAGAAAGTTTTATTCAGGGACAAATGTATAACTGAGACACTCTCCTCCCTATTTGAATTTCTGGTATTTTTTTTGTTCATAACACATACTTCTGTGATTATTTTTCAAGAATCCCTTATTTTCTTTCCTAAGACTAGAATAACAGGGTCATGGCAACAAGTCAGTGAGGAGGGGCCTCCTAAACATTCAAACTAACAAAAATAAAATATTAAATATAAAATAAATAAATTCAGTATTTTTAAGTGAGTGTACACATATGTATCCAATTAGTAAAGCTATAAGTATTTATTGATTTTTGATCTTAAATTGGTAGCAGTTATTGCAATCATCCTTAATCAGAACTATCAATTAGTTCTAATCACTGAGATTGCACTTAAACAATCACAATGTGTTCTCTTTATAATGCACTGACAGCTAGTAAATGTAGGATGTGTAAAGAAACAAATATAAAAAATGTATGCCTAAATACATTTTTGTTCCTGAAATACTTATTTTTTCTATTTTTTTTTTTTTTTTTTTGTATCAGCCTTCTAGGGTCTTTTAAACATCATTTTATAAGATTTTTATTCCAATATAATTATCATTATATGTACATAAGAAAAAAGAACAGGAGGCGAAAAAGATCCCCAAAAAGAAATTCTGAATCCACAACTGCCTCTGAGGAAATACAAGCAAAACTGATTAAATACAAATATGTTTTATTAGGTAGATCCATAAGTTCATCCGGTTTTGGTCAGATGTGCGAAGTGTTTTCAGATATCTCAAATTCTGTTTGCCTAATCAGACAATAATGATACTTGTCAGAAAGGTCAAAGTCCGCAGTTCCAAACTCTTGTGTTTGGTTTCGTTGACATTAATTTTGTTTAACAGCTACAGTGAAGTGAATATGTCAAATGATAGAGTACATTTTCAGCACATGTTGCTTTTTTATTTTAAAAAAGGCAAGCGAACTTCGGAGAACCACCAAAAGCTGTGCAAGGTAAACGGGGATGATACCTTAACAGAATGTATTGCTAAAAATGGTTTGCCAATTTTTAAATATGTTTGATATACGAAAGGTGTTATTGTATGTTTTTATCAATAAATAAGGTGGAAAATCACAAAAATATTCTTAAAAATGTACTTAGTAACTTAAAGTGAAACCCTATAACATGCTATAATTAATAACTTGCTAACTGTACAGAGTAAATGTAATGAGAATTATAAGGAAATGACAGTAACATACATTTCTTGGGGAACTTTTTCAAAACCGATGTGGTAAGCAAGAAGTGCTGCAGGAGCTTCATTGATTATTTGTAATACTTTCCATCCAGCTTCTTCTGCTGCATCCTTTAACACAACTCTTGTATCATCATTCCAAGAATGAGGAGCGCAAATGACACAACTAAGATTCTTCTCACCACAAGCACTAACACCTATATCTAAATAGGAACAAAATAAGAATAACATATTATTAAGAAAAGATTTTATCAATTAAAAAATAAAATATTAGAGCAGAAACAATGTAATATTAAACATAATTTTTTTTTGTTCTCCCCTTTCATGCCTTTTAAGCTATACAGGGTTTTGCCCAGGGTGATAGATTTATGATGAGTTAAACTCCCACTGGGCACAGGGATTTGAACTAGTAATTATTTTTCCATTTCTAACTTTGGTTATCAGATTGCCGGGCAACGTGTGGTGCTGTGCACAGGCATTAGCCTGCTCGGCTACCCCGCCCTTATTAAACATAATATGGCAATATATCTTTTGCTATTAATATAGAATAAGATCAGTGCCTGGCTTAGACATTTGATGCCCCTGAGCAATGAGGTCATCTTTCCCCTAAAACAATTAAATGTATTTCTCAAGCTGTTTTATATTATGTAATATTTGCATTTTATTTCATTCAATATTTCTCTAATACAGCTGCTTTATTAATAGGATAAAATTAACTATTTTAATAAGTTTTGTATATATTTTATTGAAATTCTTAACAAGGCGTAAGTACCCATGACAATTGGCCACCGGGGCAATGGCCCTGTAAAAGATGAGATATTGTTAATTAAAAAAAAATTAAATCCATTAAAAATTTTTTTGAGTTTGCCATAAAATCATCTAATAAATAAAATTGGGACACTTAAACACCAAAATAAGAAAGGAAGAAGTATATTTTCTGACAATTGCTAAAGAAATTTGAAGAAAAATAGTAATGATAATGGGATACTTTGTCATCTCAAAATATCTAATAATGAAAAGTACTATATTTAAACAAAATACTCATAAATATAGGTGGAAAAATAATATAATTAAGTCTAGATCATATTGCGGGAAAGAATGCAGGTAATGAACTAGTAATTGTAAAACTGGCAAAAAATATTACTTAATCTAGATAAAAGAAAATAGTTTCTATTGCAAATAGTTTAATCTGGAGATATTTAAAATCCCTTTAATTAGAAATCAATATGCATTAGAGATTAAGAATAAGTTTGAAGCCTTAGGAAGCTTTAGATGCAGATCAAGAAAATTAAATAGAACTAATTTGTATTCAATGAAGAAAAAAAGGTGAGTGAAAAAAAGAAAAGCTGCTTGCCAAAAACAATATTGCCTGCTTCCCGAGCCTTAAAGAATGTAACAAGTAATTTCTCTAAATAAAAAAGAGAATCTTAAAAATAAAATAATATAAGAGACATATAAAAGGGTACAAACAGATAAATGTTGGGGACAAAATATACTTAGAATATGGGAAATAATAGTTTATCTCCTGAATACTTAAATGGTAATGCATTCATTGATAAACCCAATAAAAAGGAATTGAAATTTCCATTGGAAAATAAAATCCTTATAAAGCAGCGGGCACCAAAAATATTTCTTGTGACTTAAATCAATACATAAGGGAAAGCTAGAGTTTCAAAAATACCTCTTTTTTTCATCTTCAAAAACTGAAGAATGGAAAAAATATATACTTATTCTGATTAACAAAAGGGACTAAGGATAGATTGTAATAACTATCAAGGGATCTCACTCACTTTTAATAGAACAAAAAGTTAGAAAGAATTAAAATACAATGATTAATAGAAGAAAGAATTAGAATTTAAAGGTGTCGTTCATCAGCTTTAAATAAATTTAAAAAAGGCTATTGATGGCATTGAGTTAGCTTGTAAATGAATAGAAGTTTTTCTGAATATAGAACTTGATCTCTCAAAATTATTTCAGGTGAAAACTAGTAGTAGAGTAAAAAGCTATGCGTTGCCTATTGATAACTTCATGAGAAGTCAATGAAAAGTCAGTTTCTTTACACACTAAAAGAACAAAATTACAAAAACATCTAATTGTTTTTTTAAAACATGTTATTGTAATAATATGGATTGTATTTTAGCTTCCCATCTTCCAGTTCATAAAAACATAAATTAATGGACAGACTTCTTAAATTTATTTTTATTTTTTTTTTTTGGAGCTTACAGAACTTTAAGACGGTGAAATTATAAACAACAAAAAATTATGTTAGTACTTATCCTTTTTCTAAATCAGACGGTAGAGGAAATAAAAATAAGTACAATAATTTAAAGCATACTCAAAATTGTAACTTACTATACAACTTTTTAAATATAAGAACAGCTACTTGCACTGGAGTGTACAAAAGTGGTTTCTGGTCTGTTTCAGATATTGTGTAAGTAATGCCATTCTCTTTGCTGATTGGGACGGAGCTCTGTTCAATACACAGTTCTAAATCTTCAGGAGTCAATGTAGTATCTAGTAGCTTTTTGTTATTGGCAACTGTACAAAATGCCTTAGAAAATGAAACTGATGTAGGACCAACAACCTAAAACAAATGCGTTAAAAATATTTATGGAATGATACAGAAACTTTTCTTAGTAAAAACCAACATATTTAACTAATCTCTAGTTATTAAATAATTATTTTTTTACCTTCATTTACCTAAAAAAGGCATTAGAAAAGTTTTGCAATACAAATGATAGAACCAGGGATGGAGATGTCATCCTCATCTAAAGTTGAATACAGAGCAACTTTATGGCACAAATTTGAACGCGGGCTAATGTAGATCAGAGTTTGGAAGAAATGCTGCCTGTGCTCGAAGAGGATTGCCCACACTATATGACAATATTCAGGTGGTACGGGGAGTTTGAAAGAGGAAGTTTTACATTTTTAAAGAAAAGAATAGTGGCAGTATTTTTAATATGAGGGGCGTTATAGAGCGAGTGGTGCTAGAAATACAGAAGACTATTACAAACAAGTGGAGAACCATAAAATGTCTTCTTAAAGTAGTACAAGCTCTCTCCAGAAACTTTGTCCAAAATCAAGAATAGATTTTAAGTTCCTTCACCATGATAATGCTCCACCACATTGTCTCAAAGTTTGCACAAAATATTTGGCCATCACTAATATAACATTTCGTCAGCAAACTCTATAAACAAATTTTTGACTGCACATCCTGACCATTTTTCATCCTTACATATTATTATAGGTATTTTCTATATTCTGCATTTCTCAGTATCTATCAGGAAAAAGGGGAAATTAAATTTAATTTTTATAGGTTTATTATAACTACCTATGTGTTTTTTCTATACTTATTTTATGATTGTATGTATTTTCTTCCAATCCATCAATGGGGTGGAATTTTTAATTTAATTTTGACATAAAATTTGAAAAAATTAATTTTATTGGGTTTTCAATATGACTTCAACCACCAACTAACTTAAAATAGAATAAAGAATTTATTTATTGTATAAAGCAATATATGCTTGTTACATTATATTAGCCTTGGCCTGTAATGTATAACATTAAATAATATTAATGAAAACAAGATTATATAACAATTAAGTATCTTTTTTTTTTAAATAACTGTGAATCCAATATAAATATATATATATAAAGGATGTCCCGTAAGTAGAGGGAAATATTTATATGAGTGATAGCTCTTGAGAGCTAGAAAAAAAGTTTATAGGAACAATAGCCTGATTTCCAGCAAAAAAGTAGGAAATTTAAGTTTTGTATTTCCGGATTTTTTACCATTGACAGTTTCTATTTTATTTTAAAACTTTATTTGTAGAGAATCTTTCAGGGAATTATGTAATACATGTATTGTTAATGTTATTATGGGTGATAAATATTCAGGGCGCAGTCATTCTAAAGTTTTTATTAGTGATGACGTTTCAACCCAAACATGTGGATCATCATCAGGGCGTGGTTCGAGCACTGAAGGTATTAAAGTTCTCCAGTATTTGAACACAGACAGTACTTGAATACTTTCAGTGTTTAAACCAGGCCCTGATGATGAGCCACATGTTTAGGTTGAAAAGTCGGCACGAATAAAGACTACAGAATGACTGCGTCCTGAATATTTATCACCCATGATATGTAGAACAGTCGACTAACTTCCTTTATTAATTTTGATTGTTGAACAAAGTGTTTTGTAGTTGGGGAAAATTTTGGTGATGATATAAAGGGACTACAAGATAGTTATATTCTAATTTTAAGTTGTTTCAATATAGTGGTTTCAGTTTTTTAATTCTAGGAGATTCTATGATTTACTTTTTCAATTCTATGATTTTTTATTCTTCTTGGTTCAGAATCAAAGAGATTTGACTACAGTATAATTCCAATATTACAAGATTTTTATTAGCAATGTGCCAACATTCGCTGAGTAGGACAATATCATCAGCAAGTAAGAGCATTGAGACTGCGTTCACTACTGATAGGGATACCATTTGCTCCTCTGTTCCAGAAAAAAATTACTATGTCTGATATAAATAAAGCAAAAAGGATAGGACTAAATCTTTCTCCCTTTAAGAGTCCTAAGGTGACTTCTATATCTTCAGAATAGTTAATGTTGATATTAATTTGCACTGTAGCTTAGTCATACAATTTTTAATGATTTTAATTATTTTATCACTAATGCCTATTGAAAACAACTTTTGCCACAGAAGGCAACCTCTAACTAACTCTCCAACCATAATTTTAACCAAGCATTATATCATTTTGTATTGTAGATAAACAAGTTGTATCAATTAATTTTTTACCAGAAGATATTTATATTAATATGAACTTAAAAGCGAGAATATAACCTAACCTAAGCAATAATTGTAAGTCAGGCACCATTTTCAATAATTGGCTACTTTCAGTATTCATCAGGAATTAGAGATTAGCGTATTCTGAGTGATATTCAAACCGGCCGCTATAAGGCATAGCAAAAGGGAACTAATACCATTTCTTATATGCAATTCAACAGGTAGATATTTTCTAATGTATTCTTTTATTACTCATGTGGCTTGTAACCTTCAGCTGGAATCCAGCAGGTCATTCCAAAACTTAGCATAAATTGCTATATATCAGTTGACTGATTGCATCAATAAAATTAGAATATAGTTTAGTAACTTGCCCAATGTTACAGGAAATATTAAATAACTTAAATATATATAAAATAAAGAAAGAAATATTTAAAAATATTATTATACCTTTTCTTCATGACTAAGGGTTACAACTGTTGGTGTTACCCTGTCGCCAGCTTCATTTGCTAAGACTTCAACCTTTCTTTCCTCCTGAAACAGTTGTTTTTAAATTGCACAATCAATTTTTAGAATGCAAGTTCATTCTCTTTATTTACAAAATATTATCTTTGATATAAAAATTTAAACTAAGAGGATAGATTAGCAAGTTGTTCTTTTGATACAACTAAAATATTGAGCATGACTTGGACTGCCTAAGTCTCTTTAAATGTAATTAAATTGAATAGGTAACTAGTCTGCACACCAGACCCACATTTTTAACATTAAGATGGCAATTAGGAGGGATGTTCCAAAAGAATACCTTGTTTAAGGCATGATATACAGTATTCTTCCTTAGCCCATTTTCAAAGTAAACAAATTCTGGAAAACTAATACATACAATTATAGTAAAACTATGCAAATAAAGCCTAGACTGTTCAATTATTATGACAATTATGAACAATCTTCTGACTAGAAAAGAGTTCTTAAAGACAAAAACAATATATTCTCTTATTTTAAATAAAAGTTATTCATAATGTGATTGATGACAATAAGTATTATATTAGTTCTAATAACTACAGATAAATTTTACACAGATATAACAACCTTAAATATTGCAATACTGGCTGTAGAATTTCCAACATAAAGTCCAAAAGTATTAGCCATCTTAACAAACGTTGTATCAACAGCAAAAAAAGAGCGAGTAATATAAACTTTTAACGAGATTTATTACACACACATACAATATTTTTATGATTGATCTTAACAAGATTACTAAGTTTTAACGGAAATGTCTCTTATTATCATCCACCGAAAAGTTTGAGAGCGCTAACCACATGACATGGATGAGGAGGTTTTACTTGTTTATCGTTGAAACCAGGTATTACCTTCCTTCAGAGTAGTAGTACATGTGCTTAGGTTTGGAGGGAAGACAAAGTTTGTTTTGCTGTTTTTCATCTTCTTTTTTTTAGATAAAACTTTGTTCATGGTTTTGTTTTATTTTTATTGTTTAAAATATTTAGCAGTGGCTGTTATTAAAAATCGCTTTGTTAATGTGACCTTTGTTAAACCCAAAAAGTTTTTATGACTGATTCTTGTGAAGGGATTAATTTTTATGTACCAGGATTTATTAGAAGTACGTTTAAAGGGCTTTTATTACCTGGACAAAAATTGGAAGAGATTTTTGACCAAATAGGTGGTTTGATATTCGAAGGCTCAAATGAGATTAAACCTGATGAAACAGTTTGGGATTCAAAAACCATGACATTAAATAGTAAGAAACCAAGAACATTAGATATGTTTTTTAAAAAAGTTGTTAAGACAGAAGTTGAATCTGATGTGGACTCAAACTATTCTAGAAACAGTATTAGTGGGTCAGTATTAGACAATTCTAGTATAATTAATAGGATTAAGAGGAGTCCAGATAGCACAGCACAAAAGTCATCTTCTAGTAAGAAGGTAGCAGATACACCCTCCAAAAAATTGAAATCTAAAAGCAATAAATCCAAAAGTCATCAGCACTCTGTATCCTCATCTGAAGATGAATCTACTGGACAGACTGGTAGAAATTCTCCTACCTATTCTGTTGACTTATTCGCTGAAGATATTCAGAATAGTTCTCAACAACCTCATAAAATTAATGCTGAACTCTCCTTGTCAGATGAAGAAATCACTCCGTCTTCACAAGTCCATAAAAGTTCCGGTAGGTATGGCTCAGGTACTTTATCTATCAATGAAAGTTCTATCTAGTCACAGTAATTAAGTATTCTGCATTAGCACACGATCTTATTTCAGGTCAAACTTCTTTGAAGAAATCCAATAGGCAAGATAGCCTGGACAGAGAAATATCATCATCCTCATCAGAAGAGGAGAGTGAACAGCCTACTTTGTCCAAGTTAGATTCCATAAAAACTAGTGTAAAGTATTTATTTTTCTATTTATTTTATGCTTTCTTATTGTTATAAAATAACTTAGACATACCATTTATTAACATATATAGACCATATTAAATAACAAGTGATTTGTTAGCATTTCTGTTTTAATTTATTTATTTTTTTAGATGAAAAATATAAAAGAGGTTTTCTCGCAAATCGAAAGTAATACTGAAAAATTTAGTTTTGGAGATCTGACTAAAGATGATGAACTTTATATTCTGCAATGTCCTAGTGAGGTTTGTTATCAGTAAAGTGTGTACATTTATATTTATATGAGTAGATTGTCTAGTTTTACATCATCTGATATCTAATTTATTTATTTATACTTTTCTATTCATGATTTTATCATTTTTATAGAATTCTTTGCAGTTATTTTCTTAGATTTTTAAAATAATATGGCTTACTGATAATTTAATATGATTGTGTACATCAGTCCCACTTCACAAGTTTACCTGAATAACTATAGTTCAACTGCAATTAATTAACAACCTAAGGATGATCTTATACGATAAGCTAAACCTCATATTTTGGTTTCCCCCAAATCAACATTACTTATAAAGTATTCATATACACACATTGAAAGATGATATTGCAATCTTCTATTTTATGTGTAAGTTCATAAATATTTTGTATATAATGTTGGAGGGTAAAGGAAGAGACTAAATGTTAGTTTCAACTTATAAATTATTCAATTATTCGAAATTATATATAAAATATCCAGTAATTTGGATTCCTATAGTCTAGAATTGGATTGAGGATAAATAAAAAAATATTAAAATTGCAGTTTTTTATAGTAAATTTTTTTATATAATTCTTGATAGCAATTTAGGTAGTTAAATAATTTAGTGTCATTTGAATGTGCAAGTCTACTCGTTTAGATGATTATTTAATTTACTTCAGATTATGAGTACAGATTTTTAAGAATGTATTTATTCTTAGGATGTTTGCAGGAAGATCATCTGATTATTGTTTAACAAATATTATATTTTTTAGATTGATTGCAAAAAGTTTGAAGGAGTTGAATTAACTCTAGAAGGGAATTCAGTTATTTCTATTGATGGAGATAGTAAATATGATTGTTTTTCTATTAAAGAAAAATCAAAGCGCTGTTTGTATGTTGCACTTCCTGATTCAAATGAACAAGGAATGAAATTAGGTATAAAACTTTAAAATTACATAGTTGATTGACTTATTCCTCTGTCAGTAAATAATGTATTTTTTTTTTTATAATATAAATAAATTTTCTTTGATTTGACATTAATCACAACAACGGGTCACTTCAAAAGTTGAAATTATGTCACATACAAGAAGTGCCAAATTTTATGTTTCTAGTTTCTATTTTTAAAAAATCTGGTGCGCGCAACACACGACTTTCACTTACTCTTTGAACTTTGAATAAAAATTATTTTCTGGCCATGTTAGGCTATTATAAAATGTTTTAAATTGCATTTTAAACTGAGCTAAAACTAACAAATCACAAATGCTATTAAAATAACAAAAGTCCTATTTATTATATCACCGGTTGATTATGGATTGTACGATTCGTTGATTATGGATTGTTTGATCCATTGATTATGGATTGTTTGATCCATTGATTATGGATTGTACGACTATAAGTCATTAAACTGTTATTTTCCATTGCAAAGTTTATTAAAACGGAATTAAGAGATTTGCAGTGTCTATTATAGACAGGTCAAAAGTTGTCACACTAATTGTAAGTGGATTTTGTTGGAATATCGCAAAAAGAAAAATTATTCACTAATTTAATTTTTAAAAGGTTAAATGATGATTTTTCGGAATAAACGGACGATAGATATCTAAATATTATATATATAATGAGATCTAGTTATTAAACTACAGTAAATATATTTAGCGTTATAAACGTATCTGTGAAATATTTTTGTATTTCACTTCTTTTTTCACACAAGTACAATGAAATAGTAGTGGAATATCGCACAACATCGCATACATATATAACACAGCAATTCCTTGAATGTAGCCAAAAAGATAAGACGATTGTGGACCAATTTAAAATTTAATAAATAATCACTAAACTACATTAAATGTATTTAATGTTATAAACACATGATTTATACATCCATGAAATGATTTTATATTTTATTTCTTATTTTACACAAGTACAATGAAATATTTTTTTAACAATGCCATTATATTGCTAAGGTGGATTTTAAATAGTTTCTACAGGCATAAAAAATATTTTTTAAAGTTTACATTTTGCCAGTAAATTTCATTTAATTTCCTTGAAAGCATGTGATTTACGTTAAATATTATCAGTTTTTAAAAATTGTAACTTATAAGTTTTTCGCCGCTCTCCGTTACCTTCTACAACTTCCTATATTATAATTTTTTTTAAATTATCCGCTTTCCAACGATATATTATAAGTATACTTCTGACTTGTATTTCCAGAGATTTATTTTCGAACTGTATAAGCATTTATATTTTTTTCTCCTTTATTCAATTATCAGATTCTTTCAAAAGTTATATTTAGCATTTTTTCGCTAAATATTTTACAAAGCTGCTAATTATTTCACAATGGTATATTATTTGCAAACAATTATACATCTAAAGTAACATTACCTTCCAAGTTACAAAGAAAAATAAATAAAAGGTGATTCCAATTAATGGACAAAGCTTTTCTTTATAATCATTAGTAATATGCTAAAAAAATTATCTTATTAAAACATTCAAAATTCAAAAACCGAAACAAAGGATATAACCATTGCAGCAGAACATATTAGAAAAAAAACTAGAGACCAAATCTTATCTCCTAATTGTCCAATTTTAACGATTTTTTTTTCTGTTTTTTTAGGCTATTCCATAAACTTTCAGAAAACCCTGTACAACATTTCCAAAAAAGTGTATACTTTTTGAGTTATTCGGAATTTAATTTTATCATCCCTCGTTACTTTTTTTCCAGCTTCTTTTCGCTGAAGTATGTTATATAGATAAATTTGAAGGGTGTCGAGAAAATGACTTTAGCGAAGTTTCAATGAAATCGGTACATTCGTTTAGGCGCTACAGTCTATAGCTACGTTTTTCTGCATTTTTATTTTTTTTCTCCTTTATTAACTTATCAAATTCTTTCAAAAGTTATATTTAGCATTTTTTCGTAACTCTGAATAATGTAAAATAATTAACTTTTTAAAATAAACCATATTAAAGGTACTTTAGAGGAAGACGTATATGAACATTGGGCATTTAAGCCCTGTAAAGTGACATCAATGGGGATAAGACCTAATTGATATTAAAGACCACTTAATTATACAATGATACACCGAGTTTAATCAAAATCGTTAGAGCCGTTTTTGAGAAAACTGTGAAAATGTGTTTCAGCGTTGATATAAAGTGGCACTTCCGGTTAGCCGATTTTAAGGAAAAAGTTGCCGTCACAACTAAGGCATATACCTATCTTAAATACGTGATATCAGTTTCATAGGACTTTTCGTTTTTGAGCTAGACTGCTAACATACAAACACACAGACACACAGACCATTTTTCGGGACTTGGTCATTTCGACTCAGGGTACCTCAAAACGTATAAATCCGTCGAAAACTCAGATTCAAAAATGTTCTCGATCACAATACTTACACTTACTATATATTACATATATACGTAAGTGAAAGTAAAAAACAACAGGATTTAAATGGTTATTTGTGAACTATTCAAGTTAAGACTTTTATAATGTGAAAAAAAATGACTATAATGAAAACAAAATCATACGTTCTATTGAGAGTTAACAAAAAAAAGTTCAGCTTTCATGTAGCTGTAAAGTATATCCATGAATCTATTTGTAATGAGCCCATAAATTTGGAGTACTGAAAATATTGGTTATTAAGACAAAATCACTTAAAAGTATAATACCAATAGTTGCATATGTAATATATTTATTATTGAATGTTAAAGAAGTGAACCCTATTAAATTAAATTTTTTGAGAATATCAATTATAATTAATTACCAATAAATTAATAGAAACTTATATTATAATTTAAAATAGTGTTATTAGTCTTTGTTTTGTTTTTTCTTTAATGTAATCATTGATTATTTTTTCTGGTGTAGGCGTTTTTCAATTATCTGGCAACATTATTTTATCAGAAAACCTTGGCATTCCATACACCAAACCCATCGAAGGTATTATAACTAGACATTTTTATTCTAGATTTCTACCTATATTACTACATTATTATTATTATTAATAATTGGTAATTGGTTGACTGTCGTGGATAATGAAGAGAAGAATAGTTGGGGTGGTCAGTCAAAAAGGAAGACAAAAATAAATGATAATATTTATTTTTACATATGCCAATGTTTCGACCTAAAGTTCAGGCCTTCATCAGGGCTAAGAAAATAACCAGATAACAAGGTATGAGAAACATAAGTAGTGATGGTAAAAAAAAAATAAAATAAATAAATATAAAGTAAAATGAAATTGTTAGAATAATGACTAAGAACTCTATTATTATTATTATAGAAACTCCATTATTATTATTATAGAACTCTATTATTTATCTCTTAGTTCTTAGTCATTATTCCAACAATTTTATTTTACTTTATATTTATTTATTTTATTTTTTTATTTTTTACCATCACTACTTATGTTTCTCATACCTTGTTATCTGGTTATTTTCTTAGCCCTGATGAAGGCCTGAACTTCAGGTCGAAACGTCGGCATATGTAAAAATAAATATTATCATTTATTTTTGCCTCCCTTTTTGATTGACCACCCCAACTATTCTTCTCTTTATTATTATTATTATAAAGAAAGAAAATTTAACTATATCTCACTTCAAATTATATCGCAGCTTGAGTGCGACTAAATTAAAGTTAACTTGGTTAGTTTTAACTTGGTATAATTTCAATTATGATAAGTTTCTCCTTAAAAATGGTCTCTAGGCTGAAACATTTGACATGAAAACAAGAAATTGTTGATGCAAAAGGACTTAATTTAAACATTTTTGTAATAATTAGTTGACAGCCACCTTACAAAAGTTTCTAAATATAATCTTATACAATATGATTCTGAATTTGAATATTCAGAAATTCAAACATAAAACACTATAACAAAATTTTCCCCTTAAGCATGGAGTAAAGATTGAATAGAAAATCTAGTTCTTAATAAAAAAATCATGGTTTATTTCTTCTTATGAATCATTTTAATTTCTCCAATTTTAGACTTTTGCAACATGGCTGTTGTTATGCTTATGCATTAAAATCCTTGTAATATATTACCAATCAAACAAAAATCGTTTTTTGTCAATTTAATGACTATTTATAAATAAATATTTTAAGTTTTGTTAAAACAGTTTTGATTGTATTATAGAATAGATAAATAATATAGTAACCAATCGACAAAATATTATTTTCAGATAATGATTATGAACACCAAGATGTACCGGAAAGTAAAGAACTAAAAAAACAAAAGAAGAATAAAGGTAATTAGACAAAAAAGCTTTTTTTTTACTGTTAATTTGAAAAATAATATGTATTATATATTGTCGATTATTTTCAAAAAGTCATTAATTAACAGGTTATTAAATGGAATCACTAAGTTATTTTATGTCTTTTCCCTTTGTGCTTATATTGAAACTATTTTATTTACATTAACTAGGGATGAGCCATTACAGATCTGTTCTGTTGTGTATCTGTTCCAACCCATTCCATTCCCCAAACGGAACTGTTCCAAATCATCGATACCGTTCCAATGCTGTTACTCCAGAATTCCTGACCTGGAAAAGTCAGGGAATGTTTTTAGTTTGAAAATATTTTTTCAAATTGGAATTACTATACAGTGGATATCGTGTATAACAACCTTAAGGGACTTGGTAAACTTCGTTGATATAAACGTATAATTGTTATAACGACGCATAGTGGTTCAGAAGTGGAAAAAAACCTTAAAATGAATGTGTTCCGATCACACTTTCTGTACTATATTATCTCTACTTAACATCCCTAGAACCTAGTCCAATAACTATTTTCTCGAGTTTCCCCCTAAAAACACAAATTAATGAGCAATTTTCAGTGGTATTACAAACAATGAATGGTATAGACAGATAATTTGAATAATTTTTTTCAGTTCTTGATAAGAGAGAAGTTATTGATTTCTTATGTCTCACTTATGGACAAATAAATATTAAAAAAATAAAATTTAGGACAGTCTTACAGTTCATTGGTTTTCATTGTTATAAAAAAAAAAAAAAAAACCTGTACCACTACAACCCATGAAGGGTCTTGGGTTCAGTAGTGTTTAGGGAAAGCACTGTTTCTTCGTTTACGGTTGTGCAAGGAGGTGACCCCGCTCCCTTTTCATTGTTATAACTATGTAAAAATCTAAGCATAAAGTAAGTATAAACGCCAAATAAACTCTTGCTCCACTTAGCTCCACGCTGGGACATATTCCATTCGATAGTACGTTTCAAAATATAAATTAAATGAAAAAAAAAATGCTTGCTGATATTCTTTTATTTAATGGTACGAGTGATTTTTCTGTGTATACATTTTATGTAAAGTTAAGAAATTGTTAGCTGAGAAATTCAACCTATCACCTTTTCACCTTTACTAACATTATTTATTTACTTTTTTCTTGACAGTTAGTACTTGAATCACATTCATATGAATAAGAGAAGATCTATTTCAGACAATAGCAGTCATTATTAGAGTACTAGAGTGGAACATTGTAAGTTTATCCGAAATTTTTGTTAGATTTTGATGAGCTAGAAATCTTTTATAATGCAATTTCATTGAAAAAAATGTCTTTCATTCTTTTTTTTTTTTTTTTTTTTTTTTTCTTCCCTAACTCACCTTTTAGGCTATACGGGATTTTCCCGTGCCGGAGGGTGAGGGCGGGGAATTTTAAATCCCCTCCGGCACCAGGACGTGAACTCGTAGTTTTTAAATCATATCAAATCTTGTTTTCCGGTTGCCAGGCAACTCGCGGTGCTGTGCACAAGCTTTAGCCCATTCGGCCACCCCGCCCGCATGTCTTTCATTCTGTAACAAATAGAAATCTTTCATGATTTAATCTATCAAAAAGCTGTTTGTTTTTCAATTATTTTAAATTGAACGACTCAAAAATTTTAAATTTCCCAATAATGCTGTCTAAGTGGTTCAGTGTGTATCAAATTCAAAAACTATTTATAAGTAAAATTTTGTTTTCTTTGGCTAAAAGGTAATTTATTTTGTATTTGTTTTAAATATTGGTCTTCTTCAGAGAGATTTGTTCAGCTAGGCTCGGTAATGTAACTGCCACCCCAGTCCATCTCCTTCCTTTTTTTATTTGTTTTTGTAATAATAACTTTCAGGGGCTAATTAGGTGAAAATAACATGTAGCACAACAATATTAACAATTTTAAAGTTCAGATAATCTTTCCACGGATAATATCGGTTTTTAAAAAAATAATATTCATGCTTGAACCTTTAGTTCCATATTATGTTATTATTATAAATCTATATGTTTAAACATTTTTGAAATAATTTTTTATTTCAATCTTTCTAATCTTCAAAATTGTCACCCATTAATATTGACTTGAATCATCAAATTAATTTTTATTCAGAATTTATCAAAATTTAAAACATAATATTCTTAAAATAACAAGAAACCAATAATATTTAGTATCTGTAATGTATACATCTATGGACATATGTAACTTTTATATAACGTAATTCTGTCTCTAGGCCGAACACCCATTAGTACAATAGTAAACCTTAAAATAAGTCCGGTCGGGCATCAACTTGTTTTAAAAATTTGCAGTTTTCTGTGTTGAATACATGATAATTCTCACAAACCGACGGCTAAATCTTGGAAAACCATTCGTTGGTTAACTGAAAGAGAACGCTGGCAGCTTCGCAACTAATTTTTTTTAAAAGCAATACTATTTTGAGAGCAGAATCTTTTTATCTATTCTCGTGAAATACTAGTTTAAGATTCATCTAGAGGATCATGAATAGATTTTAAATATTTGTTTGTATTTTTGAGTAAAATCTGACTTAACGCTGATGTAGACTTGTAGCTCTCGACAATGTTTATTATAATAATGATTGTTTTGAAGAAAATCTGTTTTCATCGCTTTTTCACCAAAAACTCATAATCTATGCATCTATTGAAGAAATTTATCATAATCAATTTGAAAAGAGCATTACATTTTCTATACCTCATGTAGACACGTTTTAAGAATTTGAGAAGATTAAGCAGCTGTTAAAGGACAAGAAATCAAAGGCTGATTTCACTCGCCGTATCTCCCGCTCTCAACTTTAGCACTTTTTATCTTTTCAATCTTTTTTATTCGGCTAATTTAACTTTATTTTTAACAAAACTAAAATTTATATAGAAATTACTTAATTTTTATGTATTCTGTTATTATGAGAGACATCAAAATTCATAATAATCAAAAACTTTAGAACCGAAATGTACTTTAAAGTCCGAGCACTCTAATGTCTTTTCAATTTTTATTAACGATTATTCCCGAGCTAGCTCAAAAAAAAAATTTTAATGCACTTTGAATTTAATTCAAGCTTATGTAGAATTGTAATATGCAAGTGCAAGTAGGCAAAAAGTTGTTGGTTAGCCAACTTGACTTTGAACGTGACTTTGAAACGCATTTGGTCCTTAATTTTTTTATGATTGTTATGGATTTATTTATAAAATTTATCTAGTTCTATTATAAAATAATAAAATTTCTAAAAATAGTTGTATAACAGAATAAAAAGCACTTAAGTTGAGAGCGGCAGATACTACAAGGGAAATACTCCTTCGATTCTATGAGCTTTAACTGCTGCTAAATCTCACATATTAACGTGTCTACGTGAGGTAAATAGGAAATTCAATGCTCTTTCAAATTGATTACATTGAATTTCTTTGATAGATGCATAGATTATTTGTTTTGGTGAAAAACCGACAAATAGAAATTTTTCTTGTGAATAAAAATAAGCTAACAGTCAAAATTCTTTAACTGTTTAATGGTTTTTACAGGTTTACTGTTCTTTAATTGTTTAACTGTTAATGTTCGGAATATACTAAGAATGAATTAACAAAACTAGAGATAACAATAAAGAGGATTGTTGAATAGGGAAGAAAACATATGTATATATATTACTAATCATGATTTTTATCATTAGTTCATGCTTCTCACAAATTTTTAAATGGTTTGTATGAACCTGAATTGAGAAGTATCATTAAACATGATTTCATTTAAGAAGGCAGGCCAAGGGGAAATTCATGTGACACTAATTTAAAACTAATTTTGTTTTACTTCATCCTACAGTGTTATTTACAAATATTACTAGATGATATTGTAATATATGTATGTATTTGTGAAGATTTTATAAGAAATATCGAAGGCTAAGGAAAAAAAAAATTAATTTAAATTTACAATTAGTGCCGCATGAGATTCTTTTCTGCCCATTATGGACGAGCTATGGTACATAATTTTAAAATTTGTGTTTTGATTATTAAAATGGTTATCTTAAAGCTATTTACTTTTTTTACAAGTTTAATCAATATAAAAAGGTATAACATTTAAAATTAACGTTCGTGTGAAATATTAGATTAATATGAAACACAACATTTAAATTATAAATTTTTATTAGATTGAATTAAATGATTGATTGAAAATCCAATTATATGGCTATAATCATATTGCAATTAATGTAAAGAAAATAAATAAAACTAATTCAAAGTAAAGAAAAGAAACATAAACTTAACGTTAATAAATAATACTCATTACAAGGTTAAATGTTTATGGTGTCTAAAAATGTGATTTTTTTTTCTCATACAATTGTAGAAATAATAGCAACAAGTACTAATATATTTTTAATAATATAAACAAATTTTCAATGGATTCGTTTCCATATGTTTTGGATTGTTTGTTGTGACTTCATTCATCTTTCGAAGTAGAATAATTTAGAAGAAATCTATATGCATCAATTAATAATTACTTCAAAATAACTGCAGAATTTTCTATATATAATTAAAAAAATTATATTTTCTTCTAGAACCAAATGAACCTGAAGGCTTATAGGATGATAGTTGAGTTCAACCCTACCCTAAATCCTAAGAATTTTATACACTCCTCTCCTGAATAAATTTTTGTATTCATGGTTTTAAACATTTTAGAACTAGAATTATTTCAGAAATAATTATTTGTCATTTTTGTACATTAATTTATTTTTAAAATAAAAAGAGATAGTGAAAGAGATAATTAAAATAAAATAGTTATTTTAAATAGCAGGAGTTGTCTCTGCTCCTTATCGAACCGTCTGGAACAGAATTGGAACAAGACTGTAATGCTTTTGCCAATTGTTTCTCCATTCCTTATCAAACCAGCTGAAACAGAATTGGAAGAGGTCTAGATAGCTTTTGGCAACTGTTTGTCCATTCCTTATTGAACTGGCAGAAACAGAATTGGAAGAGGACTGGAACGCTTTTGGCAACTGTTCCTCTGTTCCTTATCAAACCGGCTGGAACAGAATTGGAACAAGACTGGAATGCTTTTGCCAACTGTTCCTCCGTGCCTTATCAAACTGGCTTGAACGCTTTTACCAACTGTTTCTCCGCTCCTTATCGAACCGGCTGAAACAGAATTGGAACAGATCTGGAACGCTTTTGCTAACTGTTCGTCCATTCCTTTTCGAACTGGCCTCCTCATTCCTTATCAAACTGGCCACCTCACTTCTTACCAACCAGAGAAATATTAATAATTCTCAGTCGTTTCAATTGTTCCGTTCCACTCCACAATGAGATTAGGTTTCTGTTCCTGATCCAGTTCCATTGACCCATTTCTAACATTAACATTTAATAGAATTTGTTATACTTTGGTGCGCTAAATGAGGTCTTGCATCATTGAATGTTATCAAAATTCACAACTACTTATTTCAAAGTTTAGAACCATCATATGTCTACTTATTGACTTTTGATAATATACTGGCGATTCAGTGTATTGCAGCATTTCTCAAATTTTTTCTCAAGCCTTATTAATTAATGCTGTTATTAATTAATTTAAATTTATTTATTTTTAGAATGTTTATTTACAAAATTGACAGTTGTTAACCTTAAATATTAAAATTAAATGTTATTGCTATGGCATCGCTACCATATGCTTGCCATCACTCCAGTTACAGCAAGCATACACCCCTTCAGTTTGAGAATCCCTCGTCTATTTACTTTATAATGGGGTGTGTACTATATCGTGTTTCGTCAAAAAGCCTTGAGTCATTATTTTGATGTATTCTTTGCAAAGAAAATTTTTTTGTTTTTTTCATTGTTTGAAATGGCTTCATTTGTATTTAGAATGTCATTTCAATAAGTTTAATTTTTTGAGGTGCATAGTGCTTTTATCAGTAGCTACACTGATAAAATTATCTGCATCATATGAGAAGTTTGTTTCAACAGTGAAAATCTTCAGTTTGATTGGAACTGAGATTTTGATTAGTTCTTAGTAGATTGATACCTTCCTAAAGCTGAATTTAATTCATGCTCCACCTTTAAAATAAATGTTTTTCTTCATAGAATAGTGAGTACAAATATTATTTCAAGCAAATGGATATCTTAACTTGGTGGAAAAATTAGTTTTTATATTGCATATTGCAAACAAATGTGGACATGGAGATGTCCACTGTTGATAGGTATCTCTTTATACTCACCTATTTATACTAACCCGAAGGTTCGATGCCGACACCACCAATCGCTTATTACACACCTCCCTCCAACGTTCGCCGTCCAAACCCAGTCCCTTCAGATCAGCTTTAATGCAATCTTCCCACCTTCGCTTCCGTCTACCCGTCGGACGTTTACCATTTGGTACAGCAAATATTAATCTTTTAGGAGTTCTCTTGTTACTAAGCCCAACAATTTTACAAGCCCATTTGAATCACCACGATGAAATTACCTCAATTATATTACCTGGATACAGTTCCCGCAATTCGGGGTTGTGCAACCGTCCGAACTCTCCAGTTAACTCATCCATCTTTGGTCTGAATATTCTGCGCAATACTTTATTTATTTAAATGAAGTTAAAAATATGAAATTAAATTAATTACTTTTTATCTTTCATCTAGATGATATACAAAGTGATGTAAGTTTGGAAATTAGTAATACTTCCCTGAATGAAAACTTTCCTAGCCAGCATGATCTTAAGAAGAAGAAGAAGAAGAAGAAGCATAGGAACACTGATGGTAATGACAATTTAATTTTTCTTCTATTGGCAACACAAATACAAATAGCTGTTAGTCTGCTCAATTAGTCTTTCTGCTGAGCTCTATTTCCTGCTAGCATGTTGATAGGAATAAGTCATTCCTAGCTTTCAGTGGTCACTGTTAACATTGTCCTGCCATCTAGTTTTGGGTCTTCCTCTCAATTGCATCCTGTCTGAATTGTACATATGTAATATTTTGGCTGTTCTTATGTCTTCCAACCCATGGACATGCCCCAGATTAAGATGCTGATCTTTTGCAAACATGGCTGCTGTCAATTCCTGATAGATGTAATTTATTTCCTTGTTCGTCTGTAGTCTCCATTTTCTAACATTTGTACTGGTCCGAGATCCGTCTGATGACTTTTCTTTCAAATTTATCAGTTTTTTCAACAGCTGATTTGTTAAATGCCTATGTCTCACGTCCATTGTTATTACAGTTCTAATTAGCTTCTTATACAACTAAGTATAAGTGGCCCTGCTCAGTGACCTATTTCTTAATAGATCAATCAGAGAAAAGTTTGCTTTATTTTCTGTAATTAAACTGGCTCTTGTCTCTTTATCTTTATTTGCTTCTTCGTTGATAAGGGATCCGAATTAGTTGAAATTTCATCAGTTCCAAGGTGAAGTCTCTGATAATACATGTACATTGAAGGTGTGCATAATACATGTACAAGGTCAGGGTTTCGTTCTCTGTCTTTGACAATTTGTTTTTTTAATTATGATGTGGTCCTGTATTTAATATTATATTTATATATTGTTATTTAATGCAGGATATATATATTGCATTAAACAACAATACCTACGATAGAGTGCATGTGTGAAGGTGTTGAGAGGAGAGAAAGCACGTAGAATTTTTTTATGCTTTTTTGTGAGTTCTTTGGAGCAAGATTTCTCTCATCTTTGTAGTTCTCAAGAAGGCATATTGAGAGGGCTTAAGCTTGGGCATGATTGTGATGCCCCTTTCAATACCTAGATTGAAATGAAAATACTTTCATTGGCTAGATTCAAATACAAATGAAACAAACAAGAAACTTTGTGAGTCAGAGTGCAATTGTTCCAAAAATTTTCAACATTATCAGAAATCTTGAGAACTGTATGATTGCATATGTAAGTTTTCTCTTGCTCATTACTGTACTCTCCAAAGCAATCACCAAAGAGTGTGTATGTAAAGTGCTTGTAGTATGACTACAAGTAATCCTTGGAATTAGATAATCATTAATTACATTATTATATAAAGTATATATTTTAGTTTAGATTTTGATTAGGCAAGAATTTAATTTATTATTATTTGTAGTTTTATTATAAATATTTGTACATATGTATAAGCAATTGATAAAAATATAAATGCATTATTATTTTTTGATTACTTAAAAAACCTATTTATTTCTCTTTGTCCCATTTATATTCTTCAAGTTTCTTTTATAAAAATTGCCAACACGTTATTCATTAATAATTATCAAGACAACTACTTATTACAAAAAAAGGTAATGTGATATAACAAGAAACAACCAATTATAGTTTTATAAATCAACAGAGAGATTCTGTTATTAAGGTGCGACCTCTGGTCTGTGATTTTAAATAATTATATTATTTTTCCTTCTTTTAATAGATAGGTAAATTTAGAATCAATTAAATGCGTATTTTAAGCATTTATTCCTTCAGTATTCAGTCTCTTCAGCAACTATTTTGCAATTGAAACCTTCTATTTGTGGTTCGGTTAAAAAAAAATCTCACTATTCAGCAATTTTTTATTGTAGGAATAAAAATCTGATTGAGTTTATAGCCATTTCTCATTGTTATTTCTTGTGATTTAGATACCTTAAGTGATGAAACAGCTGCAACTGAATGTTTTAGTAAGGATGTTAATGACGTTTTGAACCAGCTTGCTTCAAAGAAGAAAAAAAGTAAGCTTACTACTCTAGAAAGGATGTAATTCTTTAGTTGGTAATATATTTTAAGTAGAATGTTGGCGCCCTTAGAATTATGAGTTTTTCCTAATTTATAATGTTATTTATATTTGATTTTAAAGACTTATGGTCTATTTGATTTGTATATACAAATTTGCTTGAGTAATAGTTTCCTTTGTATAATTTCTATAAAGCTTATGTATTATACTATGATTATACTATTATAAATTAGTCAGATTTTATTGATTGATGGTAAAAAAAGAAATACACATTTCTTTATTAAAGGATGCTGGCCAATAGTATACCTATCTGTTCTGGATAGACATATTTTCATTTTTTTATTTTTTTTTACTTTGATTTGTAATGTCTGATTTGGTATTAAATGGAAAAGAATAACTTGGAGGAAAAAAGTAAAATTTGAGATATAAACTAAGTATTATTTTCCTGTTATATCATTATTCAAATAAAATAAATATTAGGAAATCTGTTTGTTTACTATATAAAGAGAAATTTAAGGTCCATAGAATTAATAAGATTGTTTATATGCACATTTTTCAAAGATAACTTCATATGATTAAAGAAGAAAATACTTAATTTAATAAAAAATAATTAAATCCTTGAATAATAAAATAAATAATATTGGATAGTGATAAAGTGTTAAAGTATTATCAGTTTGTTTTTGTCTTTATCCAAGTATCTTCATACCTACTTGTCATTTGCTTCCCAGGCATAAAATGTTTTCTGATATCTGCTCACGATTGTTTTCAATTAAAAGTATTTCAGTCTATTCTATTAGACTAAGTATTAAAGTCTATTTCAGCAAGAATTCTCTCAAACCAAATATTTCTTCATTGCTTGAGGTAACATTAAAGATTTGTAATGTATCTCTTCATCTCATTAATATTACCAAACCACTCTGTCAAAGGTTTAGTAAAGGTACCTAGTGTTTAATTAAATTAGTAAAAATCTATATGTTGTAAAAGATGTTTTGAACTTATCTATATCCCGTTAGATAAGAGTAAGGTTCTTATTGAAACATTCTTCTATATATTGTATTTCATTCTTTCACGGATTAGTGCATTTGTTGATTGATAATTGTCTAATTATTGTTTTTAACTTATAATTCAAAAATATTTTTATCATCAAAAAATCATTTTTTTGTCTTTAAAGAGTAGCATATGAATTCAATTAAATCTAAGTTGAATTCTTGGTTTTTTATTTCAAAGTTTATTTATTTAATTTGTAGGTAGTGATATGAACTCCAGGTTTTCAGAATCCGATAACGTAAAAACAGAATATGAACATACACAAATTATTCCTGATACTGAGGACCAGGGTAAGGTTGATGAAATATCAGTTTTTATTTTGAATTATTTTATTTCATTATCAAATTGCAATAATGTTGTTCACGTTTTCATAATACTCTCCCTTAAATTTAGATAAATTTTGTGGTAGATTTTAAATTTCAGTTTCTTTTAAATATATATTTTTATTTTCTTATAGAAACACCTATGAAATCAAAAAAGAAGAAAAAAAGAAGAGCTGAAGGTATGAATGAAAATGTCAGTGTAAGAAGTCGTCTTCTTTTAACATATTAACTATTTATATTATTTTACAGGTACAGAACTGAACTCCAGTATTTCAGACTTTAGCAAAACTAATATTGTAAAAACTGACTGGGAAGATTCCGAAATTATTCCAGATACACAGGATCAGGGTATGATGACAAATAAAATTAATAATGTATTATTTTTTTTTCTTTTCCAGGCATATATCCTTAAATTAAAACTTTGACTTCTGTTATATTCGAATTTTTAGTTTCGATGTTGTTTATAGGTTTTAATGTTTGTTTTTTCATATAGGAACACTATCAAAAATAAAAAAGAAGAAAAACAGAAGTACAGAAGGTATGAATGAAGATATAAGAGTAAATGAATATTTTATTATTTTAACAAATAAAATATATACCTCATGTTTCAGGTACAAACTGGGAAGATTCACAAATTATTCCAGACACACAGGATCAGGGTATGGTTATAAAATAAATTAACAATGTATTATTTGTTTTCATTCATGCATATAACCTTGAATGAAAACTTTGACCAGTAGTGTCAATTTTCAGTTTAGATTTTTTTTTTCAGTGATTATTAATGTTTTTTTTTTTATTATAGAAACACCTTCAAAAATAAAAAAGAAGAAAAAAAGAGGCATGGAAGGTATAAATGAACTTATCAGAGTAAAAAACTACTATCTTGTTTTAACAAACTAAATATATACCTCATTTTCAGATACAGATTTGGACTCCAGCTTTTCAAATAAACTTCAACTTGTGAAAGCTGAGTGGGAAAATTCGCAAATTATTCCTGACACACAAGATCAGGGTATATTCATAAACATTAATAATTCTGATTTTTTTTTCTTTGCTGGGCATACAGCATTAAATTAAAACTTTGACATAGTGGTGTATTTCAATTTTCAGTTTAGAGTTTTTTTCTAGTGATTATTAATGTTTTTGTTTTTTTATTATAGAAACACCTTCAAAAATAAAAAAGAAGAAAAAAAGAGGTATGGATGATAAATGAACTTATCAGAGTAAAAAACTACTATCTTGTTTTAACAAACTAAATATATACCTCATTTTCAGATACAGATTTGGACTCCAGCTTTTCAAATAAACTTCAACTTGTAAAAGCTGAGTGGGAAAATTCACAAATTATTCCTGACACACAAGATCAGGGTATATTCATAAACATTAATAATTCTGATTTTTTTTTCTTTGCTGGGCATTCAGCATTAAATTAAAACTTTGACATAGTGCTGTATTTCAATTTTCAGTATAGAGTTTTTTTCCAGTGATTATAAAGTTTTTTTTTATTATAGAAACACCATCAAAAACAAAAAGGAAGAAAAAAAGAAGTAATGAAGGTATAAATGAACATATCAGGGTAAATAATTATTGTCTTGTTTTAACAAATTAAATATATACTTCTTTTTTCAGATACTGACTTGGACTCCAGCTATTCAAATAAACTTGTAAAAACTGACTGGGAAGATTCACAAATTATTCAGGGTACAGTTATTATTAAAATAAACAATGTATTATTTATTAGGAATATTCTATTTAATTAAAATGACAATTATTATGTCAGAGTTTTCTACTTCCTCAGTCATTGCTGGGAATATTCACCTATCCGGACTCTATGAATCTAGGGTTAGACTGTTTTTATGAAATATTTAAAAAAATTCTAACAATGCTGGATGCCCATAGTAGCACAGCTTTTTGTCCTTCTTCCAGAATATAATCGATAAGTTTCAATTCTTTGCAAGTTTTTATTTCTTCTCGAACCAATCTGTTGCTGAAAATGATGAAAGGCAACACCTTTCCTTCATTAAGGTGGTAGAGATGATTCAATTCCTCACAGAGCTGTTGATATTTCCTTACCTTCCCTCCGACCACTGTATGTACACTATCATCATTGTGAAGATCTATTTTAATTATTAAGGCCTTATTTCCCATTGTTCTTAGTACCAATATGTACATTTTATTGTTTAGTACTATATGATCTGTAATTATAGGCTGATCCCAGTAGATTGTTGTTTTCTTATCAGAGAGAATAGACTGTGTAATGGTAATCAGGCTTTAATCACTCAGTAAATTTGTAATATTTGGCAAGACCTTGCTGAATTACATGTCCTGCTAATATAAGGTGACTAGACATCCCGCTTTTGGTGGGACAGTTCCGATTATTTACAATTTGTCCCGCCTCCTGCGGCATTTTTAATAAGTCCTGATTTTTTTAAAAGAATGCACAAAAAGGTAGAATATACATCAGGATATGAGTTTTATATTTTTTTTGTTAATTTTATAATGTTAAACTGAATAATTGTTGAGAATTGATTATGGAGAACTCCTTAGCAAAGTTCTCATTATTGATCAGTTGTTAGAATTCAAGCACCATTGTTTGGACTTAATAAGCAACCTGAAAATATTCTTTTTAATAAGATATCATCATTAAAAAAATATATTGATAAGAAAAAGAATAAATCTTGCATTAGCATATTAAATTCATTTGCTGCTTCGATTACCGAAATGTTGGCACCTTCAATATGTTTTATAGCAATTTTAAAAAGAACTACTCGATTGTGTACAAACTGCTGTCACGAAACATTTATGTCTTAAAAATTGTGTTATTATTGTAGTTATAAATTAGATGTTAAATACAACATTAAATTATTTGCTCTAAAAAATACGTCTTTGGTACTAAATTCTCTACCTTATTTCAGTTGAAAACTGTGTCACCTGATTATAACATTTAAACCAAGTTATCATTATTTTAAATTAATTATTGTTACAACAAATTTTGGTCAATGGTGTACCGCTTTACCAATGTTAAAATCTGGTCTCTTTATGCTAATATCATACATCCTGTTGTCATTGCAACTTTACATAGTCGGCATTTATCACTAATGTTTTGTTTAAAAATTTGTTTGCAATATGAGTTAGTTCCCACAACTTGGTTCTGTATAGGAAGAAGAAAGCCTGTTTCCAGAAACAGTTTTATTTTTTTAAGCCATTCTATGAAAGCTGATTGGCTAATTCCTGTTTAAGTGACGCCATTGCAAAACTTACCGTGAAGCCGCTTGCTGCTAAAGTCCCTCTTCAGTTCCTTATAGATTATCGCTTTTTTTGGTTCAGCTTCGAGGTTTAATGTAGTTAAGTTGTCCATTATCACAATGGTAGTCATTAATTAAATCAGTGTGTAAACACTAACATTTTTTTAGCTGCATTTCGTGTTCTCGACAGCTTTTGAAAAGACTAATGAGTCCTCTTCTACATTGTTTTCTTGGATGTATAATCTTGAAACTGATGATTTTGGGTACCTTTTTCTGGTCGCTGTCATCATAACTCTGGCTTTACGGTCCAGCCCTCGCAAATTGGTGTTGGTCCATTTTGGACAACTCTAAATATCTATGACAATACGGGAACAGCCCAGGTATTTATAATCTTTATGATGTTGCCTGATGAAAGATACGTTATCAGAAGAACGTTTTTTAAACTCATTTACAAATATTTGTCGGGATTCACTCTAAAACTTCAAGAGCTTATTAATGCCTAAATATTCATAGAACTTAGATTCTTTCAGCTGCTTTATCATTTTCTATCTAGATAATTCAGGATTTTCAATTTCTTTCAGTTTGCCTTTGTTTAAATTAATTACTCCGTATTTCTCTAATTCAATGGTCATTTTATATCTCTGCTGAAACCACCTACTAGCTTCAATAGATTCTTCAGGTCTTTCTCATTTCATGCATATAACTTAATATCCCCCATGTAGAGTGCCTGAGTGAAAATTACTATTATTATTATTTAATGAAAAGTAATAATTTTTATTAAAGTATACTAAATGGAAGGATCATCACTAATCTGGTACTGACATCGGGTTTTGTTGTGGGGTTGCCATAATTGTATGATTAATAGAAGTATTTTTATAATATTAGATTAATATGAAACCCTCATATAATCACTATAAAAGCTATTTAAAATATTTTATTACAGTAAATAGTAATAATTTCAAAGACATTTAAAACCACTATTGTAACATTTAAAAATATTTTATACAATCTATTAGTTTACTCTTTGTAAATCATAAATGAACAAAATGGTATTTAAAATTTGAAATGTGTGTTGATATGTCAGGTTTGAAAAATATATCAATGTTTTTATTCATTAAAAGAAATTCTTAACCAAACAACACTTGCATGGTTAGGGGTTATTCTTATTTTCTTAGTTGTAGGTTTTTCTAAATTATGGGATGGGACAGTGGAAGAATTTTGGTATTAAATGAATTTTAATATTAATATTAATATTGCAAAGATGCAATAGAGCTGCATGCACTTGAATAACTGGAAAGATCTTCAAGTTGTGTTATGCCAACAGAAAAAAAAAAATTAAAACGTATTAAATCCCTTGTAAAAAAATCAAAAGGTTATTGCCAATCTATATAATATGTTTCCTGCTAAATTCTTAGATCCATTCTAGGAATTAATAATTCAAAATCTTGTTACATTATGAAATTTCTATTTAATAAACCATTCATATCAATTGCTGTTTGGTCACATTGAATAGAATATCTGAACTCTTGATTTTTTCTTGCATGTTATAATATTTTATTTTCCAGTTAAGTTGGTAATGATATAACTAGCAATCATTTTTGTTCCCAGCTTTATTTATTATAACAAATCAAGTAATATGTTAATTTTAGTAATTACTTTTAAACTTAATTATAACTATTTCATAGTCATCATTACCATTTTGGCCATTTACTGTAAATTAAATCTCAATCTTTCTCTTACCAATTACACCAATTGTTTCCTCCTTTTTTTCAAAAATTCCTTCTTCTTATTTTCTTCAGGAACCGAATTACTTCCAGAAGTATCCATTCACTTGTTCAATCATTTGTTTAATATATATTTTTTTACATTATGTTCTATGGATTTTGGTTTAATAAAATTACAAATATATGTACATTATACTTTTTCTTCTTGAATTTTGTATTTACAATAATTTAATTATATACGTGTTCATAGATGGTGTATAAATAATTTATTTTGTTAATTATATATAAGTTAAAACTTGTTGGTAAAGAGGACTATTAGTTTTCTACTTCATAATCTATCCAAGTTTTTAACAACAATTTAAGTATTTAAATTTATTGTTTTTTGTTTTCAGAAACCCCTTTGAAAGTGAAGAAGAAGAGAAGAGACAAGGGAGGTATGGGATTAAATATGATGAAAAAATTTATATTATTTTTATACATTGGTTAGGTTTCTAATTTCTGAGCTATAGTAATAATCATATTGAATTATCTTCTAAGCTGCAATTCTTCAGCTCTGAATTATGAACTTTTAGCCCTTAATTCGTTGAAATCCATGTAATTCATTGAAAGAGCTATATGGAATATTTTACCATTGTTTGTTGGAGGTAGATGCAAATTTGTTTGCTATCTTAACTGCGAAATGGCATACAGTTGCTAAGAATAAAATTTCTATTAGTCTCTTGATGCTATTTGTATAGAAAAGCAATGAAAGAATCATTTTACTTTGATGAACATCAATACAACATATTAAATATGGTTGTCAAGTGTTGGCACTGAATTAATTTTTGCTGCGGTTTAATAATGGAGTACGGGAAGTATTGTAACTGGGTAAAAATGTTGATGTGCAGTTGATTAACATATTGAATAACATTTCTGTACATCAAACAAAAAGTCATTTTTTAAAGAAAATATTAAATTTAATTGTCATCAAAAACTGCCTCTAGTTTTTAAAATGGTTATTAATTAACTAAGAAAAACAAAACATCATTCACTAAGAAAACAGAATTAGGTAGGTACTTATGGAGTGAGATTATCTTTATTTTTTTCTTGACAAAATTATTTTTTCAGTTTTAAAATCAGTTTAAGTTGGCATTTCTTGTTGCGAATAAGCTCCAAAACAAAAAAAAAAAAAAATTAATTGTTCTACTTAAAGTCCCCAAAAATGGGAGAAAAATTAAAGTGTGGCTAATATGAAGTTGAGAAATGTACTGTTTATAAAACTGATTTGATCAGTTAAAGGTAGAGTAAATAAGAGTAGTTAAATGAGTTTTAGAAGAGATCAGATACAATCCTAAAAGTTTGGTAAATTTGATGAAGCAATATTGAAATTTTATGCATAATAGAACAAAGATGAAAATTGCAATGTATTGAAATGTTTTTCAATGAATGTTCATGTTTGATTGTGATTTTTTACCACACTCTAATATGGTCATAGGTTTAGACATTTTGGTTATTTTAAATTGGTATGGAAAGTAGTTCTGCTAATATTTATTTGACTTTTATCTTATTTTAATGGATGATTTGTATTTTTTTTTTAAATACTCAAATACATGCCATTTAAATATAAATTGAAAATAAAATATTATTATGGTAATATGAAGTTGAGTGATCTTACTTATTATATCTATTACAATTAGAGTGATGTTTTACATTACACCACTATTTTAGCACTGCCAACTTATTCATAAGTTTTTTCATATAAGAAATGTTGAACTACCAATCTTTTTTTAAAATTAATATACGATTATGTTTCAATTTTGACATTTCAAATAAAAATTTAATTTTTGTTTTTTATTGTTTTAGATACTACTCAAGATGAAGCAACTGAAAGTGAATTTTTTAGTGAAAATGTTACAGATGTGTTGAATAAGCTTGTTACAAAGAAAAAAAAGAAGAAGCATTATAGTTTAGGAAGTAAGGTTTTTTTTAAAGTTATCTAGTTAACTTTATAAGCTGTCAAGTTGAGTTATTAAAATTGTGCATTGAAAAAATTATTTTTATTTTCAAACTTCAAGTATTTAAAAAAAAATCTAATAACTTTTACCAATTGTGCTTTTTGAATTAATTTATACATGTGAATTGTGCATTGAAAAAATGATTTTTATCCTCAAACTTGAAGTATTAAAAAAAAAAAAAAAATCTAATGACTTTTATCAATTGTGCTTTTTAAATTAATTTATACATGTGTTAATGAAGGAGCAAAATAGGCGGAGCTGTGATTGGGCCCGAGCTAATGTTAACTGCATCAGGCTCTCAGAAATCACAGCTCCGAGTTTTCTGTGTTTTCGGATGAGATCATATGGAACTATACAAAATCCAATCATAGTCCCTAGGATAGCTTTCCATCACTTTTTTTTTTATAGTGGCATAAATGCACTTCGAAGGCCTATTATACGGCTCTGTTAAAATCACTCCTATCTTTTTTAGAGCGTAATTCCTACAGTATCAATGAACTCAGTCAATGTTTACCTTATTGAGTAAGTTTTATAATAATAGATAATTCATTGAGAGTTCCTGCACAATCCTCAACAGCCTTTCATCTAGTTGTATAATTGTCCAGTGCTCTTATAGCTACTTTATTGTCAGTATATATGGAAATTTCCCTCCTCATTAGCCCATTTAGCAACAATTTTGAGGCACAGTGAGTTATTGCCAGTATTTTTGATTGGAACACCATTGCATATTTGCCGAGTGGTATTGACATGCCTTCCTCTGGTTCATCCTTTCTCCTAAAGCCAGCACCAGAAGCGCATGTCATTAGTGATTCATCAGTATAACAATTAATCCCATTAATAGTTCTCCTGAGCTGTCTATTTTAACATTATAAATCTTTGTAAGAAATTCTCTAGTCTGAGTGCATTGTAAGCACCTTGTCTTCCTTAATTTTTATAATTATTTTCCAATGTCCCTCCTGGGTGTTTATCTTTGAACATAAGTTTAGTTTTTGTAGCTTGTAAAAAGTTTCAAGGCCTGCTTTTCTATCTGCAATTGCAGAGGTTAATAGACCTAACATTAATTCCATGGCTGCAGTCAGTAGTTTTCATTGCACCTGTTATCACTAAACAGGCTAATCTCTGTAATTTTTCCAATAGTATCCTGTTGTGGCTCACTCTTGCTCTATGCCACTATACAACAGTTGAATTTAAAAACACAGGTCTATCCGCTGTGACATACAGCCAGCAGACCATCCGACCATTGTTTCTTGTGTTACCCCAATATTATCTGAATTTTTTATGAGTGCTATTATAATTATGAAGTATTGATTTTTATTAAGAGGATGCAGGAATGAGCCTCCAAATATCCTATAAATTGAGATCTGAGACATTTTATTTTTAATAAATTTTGCTAATGTAGTTATTTGAGAAAGTAAAATGACCAAAAACACAAATGACAACTCGAAATTGGGATTTGAACTAGAAAGGTCATTTAATATTTTGTACCCTACTTCTAACCTGTACTTCTACCTATTTCTCTAAAACTGATATATAATTATATGCTAGTTTATCCTAATAGCATTTATTTCTCATTAATTAGTTATTATTATTTTATTAATGTAATGAGTTGTTGTTTAGGTAATGAGGTAACAGACTACGAATCAGAGTTTGAGAAATCGTTAAAAATAAAAAGAGAAAGGGAAGAATCTCAAGTCATCTCTGATTTCCAAGGTAAGTTTTGGATATTTTGTTTTCCAGAAATTGAAAAATATCTTTTTTTCAACATCTTCAGAGTAGAAAATAGTACAAATAATTGTTTATGAGCCTTAGATATTTTTTCTTGTTGTTTTCATAGATTCTTTCTCCAAATTTAACTATATTTTTCCTATTAAACAAATTAAATAGAATATGACTTGAATGTATTGCTCACCAGCCCCTCTTCCACTACTTTCCTTACCACTATTTTCCTCAAGTAAATCAACTCCACAATGATTGATTTAGGTTGGAATCTAAAAGAATGACTGTATGTAAAATTTATCTAAATCAATCATTACTTCCAGTAATTTGGCTACAATCAAAACTTTATTTATTTAATTTTTTTAATAATGATGTCAATAAATAATGATATTTGCTGTGTTTATTTACAACTTATTCCAATCAGCTTAATACTCAGTTTAATTTTATGAAATTATACTGAAGCGAAAAATTCAACAAAAAAAATATTCATATTTTATTCTTTAAAATCTTTTGTAGTGCAAAATCTGATTTTTTGTAGTTCTAATGTTTTAATTATTATTTCTTTCAGAAACACCTTCAAAGTCTAAAAAGAGAAGCAGGAAAGATGTCGAAGGTAAAAAAAAATCTGTGATGATATGGAAACATTAATAATAAATAAATATTACAAAGCATAATAATTAATAAATAATGACAGATAATAAAAATACATGGCATATTTCTTTATATAATCTTACTGTGATTGTGAAAGATGTTCACAATAATTGATGAAATAATTGATTTATTTTATGATTTATTATTTTGAAAAAGTTATTGGTATGTTTTAAAAATAATTTTAACATATTGCTTAAAAATCAAATTTCTTGTGAAATAGTTTTAAGTGTGCCATTTAGTTTTACAGTAAAACTTGTTTACTTTGTGTTAAATGTGTTGGTTAACTTAACATTTTATGCAGAAATTTGTCTGTATTATGTATAATCTCCTTCAATGGTATGTTCACTATATTTTGAATTTAATTTTTTTTTTTTTGTGTTCATTTCATTTTTCAAATATCTCAAGTTTTATAAGAATTAAGGTCCTTTTACACTGTTAAGTTTTTCTACAAGTTTCTTGGATGTGCTCAACTTTGGTTGAGAAAGGTAATTCTGCAAAAGATTTTCGTTAGGTAACGGGAACAAATCGCTCCAACATGTTGTAAATTTTCTACCAAATCCCCAAGAGAGTTGTTTCTTAAGTTACTATCTAATCTTTTCTAATTAAGGTAGAGTTTCATTACGAGGGTTCAAACCGACACAACTAGAGTCGAGATTTTTAAAGCAGGCAACTACTCAACACACTTGACCATCAAGGCTTTTTCTTGGAACACCTAGTGGAAAAATATGTTAACTACAATCACGATATTATTTCAAAAACTCAACTGTGTAAAACGGATTTTCAAGGTTGTGGTGATTTCCCCTGGTGGTTGGAAATTGTTACACCACAATTTCTAGGACGAAGCTTTAGTCGAGAAACTTTAGTAAAACTTTACAATGGAAAATAACAGTTTATAACTAATAATCCCACAATCTAGTGGTGCCAAAAAGGGCAGATTCATGGTTTTTTAATTTTTGAGGTGAGCAAATTTCGACGGGGTTATGAATTTTTAAGAAAAGGTGAGCATTAAAATATCTTGTGAGAAAGGAGGATGGTTCTTGTGCCATCGACCTTGGGGGATGGGCACCCCTGCCACAATCCATAGTCATTTATAGGTTAAATGTTCAGATGTTTATGATTATCATAAACATGTTTATGTTGAATCTCTCTCGGCACATATGAGCCTTCCAGCCGACAGAATGAGTAACTCCAATTTCAACATTGTTTATTATTAATTTTAGTGATGTTTCTAGTGGAAAAATTTATACCTTTATTCACAGTTGTTTATTTCAACTCTGGAATTTATTTACTTGCTTACTGTTTGTATAGATATACATTTTCCAACTAAAAATATCACTAAAATGACATTACTCAAAAACGTTGAAATTGGGGTTAGTCATTCTGTCAATTGAAAGGCACACATTGCTCAGAGACTGAAGTTATGTGGTTTATAAAAACATATGGAGTAACTAGATTTTTATTGCTTACTATCGATATAATAAATGGAGTTCTTGTAATTTTAATGGTTTTGATGATTTGTTATATGTAAGCTTTAAGCCTTAGCTACATTTAAAAGGCACTTCAAAAATTATATAATAGCCCAACATTGTCATAAAATAATTTCTATTCAAAGTAGAGCGGTAAGTGATAGTTGTGTGTTGTGCGCACCAGATTTTTGGAGGTGTTATTGTTTTAATTAATGTTTAGGTATTAATCCTTTTTTTTTTTTAATTTGCTTCAATGTTTATAAGTATTTAATCTTTAATTTTAGATTCAGAAGAGTTTTCTAAAGAATATGTCCCAATAAAAAAAAAGAAGAAAAAATATAGTAAGTATAGTTAGATAACATAGATATAATCTTTTAACATACATATTGTTCCCAATAACTATTTAAAATCATGAATTAATCATTTTATTTATTTTTAAGAAGGAAATTTACTTTTATTTTGAGGCATTTAGTCCCCTAAGAATAACAAAATGGATCAGCATTTATTTGTCTGGCTGAATTGATAATCTCTACATTAAAATAAAAAGATGTAAAAATAATAATATTAATGAAAATGAAACAAGTGAAATGCAATTTAAATTATGTATGTATGTATATATATATATATATATATATATATATATATATATATATATATTACATCTTTAATTCAACTTACACATTAGATATTTCTTCTTTACATTTATGTGAATGACTGATTGTTGAGGTGATGGAGAAATAGGTGGTGTTTGAATGAGGTTAGTGAGGAATCTTTATTAATGGAGTTGCATAAGGAATTCCAAAAAAGGGTTAACTTGAATTTTAAAGGAATTTTTAAATGAAGCTGTTATTTGAGGGAGGATATATAAATTGGAAGGTTAATATTTCCTGTTTAATCGATGGATTGAAAAACATAGGTTGATGAATTCAAGAATATAAGATGGTTTGTGTTCTTTAAGATGGAATACAAAGTCACCAGGGAGATAATTCAATAATCTTTTCTTTCTAATTTCGTGGTCAACAGATGCACTAGATCTTCCATGCATACAGTAGACATCCGTAATATTAGTGGAGGAGAAATGGCGAAAAGTAGATGTTTTGTACTTCTGGTTAATGAATCACCAGAATCTTAAGAGCTGTTTAAGGATTGAAATGGATAATTGGGTGATCTGGAAAATATGGTTATTCTAGTTTAGGTTTTTTTTTCAAAGGGAAATCTGAAGTTTTTTATAGAGTTTTGAAATTGAGTTGGATTGTTGTTGGGATATCTTAATGCATTATAGGGAAAAATCTTGAGGGAGGGTTGTGAACCATTGATTATTGCCTTACCTTTTTGCTGTATTCTGACTCAACTTATTTTCTCAAGTCAACCGGTTAATACTGTTATTGTCATCTTGGGGCTTATGAGGTGCCTCCAGTATGTTGTAGGGGTGAAATAAAAAAAATTATATTTGTTATAGTAGGTCATTTATATTGACGGAAAAATGCTAGTGAGAGAGAAAATGGACATTATTTATGGCCATAGATAAGCGAGAAGAAGTGATGACAATGGAGATTTATTAGACATAATGACAATTAGGGTGTGCCGAGACAAGAAACAGTGAAATCAGCTTAATACGATACAGGAATATTATGTAGTGTAGTTTGGAGGAGAGAATGGCATTATCAAAATATTATATAAAAGAGGAGTAGGATCTTGATTTTTTGTTGATCTATTGTGGAAATATCGTTAGCGGTTTTTAGCAGAACTGATGGTATGGAGTAAAGAAAATATGTGAATAAAAATATAAATTTTCTCACTAGAAATATCACTAATTCAGTACTAGATAGTGTCACGTTTAATTTTTTGAATTTAAGATTCCATGGAAGGTATATCATCAACTATATTACTATTGTTATTCATCCTATCTTATTATGATTATTAATTCATGAATTATGATCTTAACTAAATAGCAAACAGTTTAAAACTAAGAAAACAAAATTTTATAACAAATATATAACATTTTTTTTATTGTTAGTAAAAATAAAGTAGTAAATCATATTTAGAATAACTTAAATTTCATTTACAATTTATTATATTTGATTTATATTTATTTTGAATCTAGGTCATTCAGGAAGTCAAGATATGCTCTAAACTCTGAACAGTATATGTATATATGTTTTCATGTTTTAAAATAACTGAGTGTTATTAACATGTTTAAACCATTTATATTACATATTCTGAGACTTTTTTTTTGTTAAATTATCTTCAATTACTTTTACATTTGATTAATGTACTTTAAAGTAATTCGTATATGAATTATTAACATTAGTTATGTAAATATTCTGGTTTTTTTGTTGTTTTATCATTGAACCTATTTTAAGCATTATAACATATTTTGTAAATCCAATTTTTTTGATTTGTTTTAGTTTTGTACAGCCATGTAAATATACAAACTAGTACTATATAAATTTTATCATGTATGTTCAACTATAATTGTAAATAAATCATTTTATAAAAATATCTCATTATTTTACTATTTTTAATAATTTTTAGTGAGTGATCCTTAAAAATGCCTGTTTTGCTGAAAGATGAATTTATATCTAAAAATTGACTAAAAGAGGAGAGAGTTTCTCATTTAAATAATTAATATTAATTTCAAAAGGGTATATAAATTTTAGTTACTCATTTTCTTTCATAGTGGTTTGAGTTCTCACCGAATTATTAAATAAGAAATAACGAAAAGGTAATAATTGGAACAGAGAAGGTTTGATTGAGAATAATAAAAGTGTATTAAAGTTAAATAAATCTTGCCTGCCACCCCAAAGAGGCTGCTTTAAATATGATACTCGTGTGAAGATTTCCAAAATTGAGTACTCGCATGAATTTTCAGTTTTTATTCATCAATGAAGATTAGGTTATTACAATAAAAACAAAAATTCACAAATTTTTCTGATTTATATTTGCAAAGATAATTAGTGTTAAAAAGAAGTTATGGGGACAGATCTGTAAGAGACACACCAGTCTATTACCTGCCAGCACCTAGCTCATGCTGTTGGGTTGTATACTTTTAAGCTTCGAATTGTGTTTCCAGCTTCAAAACTTCCACCCAAGAAATTTCTTATTTCTCTCACCTTGTCGCCTCTGAATACAAATATTGAATTTAAAATGTGTTTTATTAGCTTTCATAAATGTTTATTTATTTATTATAGTGGTAGAGAGAAGTTTAAGAATACTTTTTTCCATCCCCCCTCCCCACAAGATGGATGGCCCATAAATCACCCCTTCCTCCCAAAAAATTGTATTACCCTCCTATTCTTAAAAACAGTGCAAGCGAAAGTATAATAGGAAAAATCATAGATCATGAACAGTTACACTAGGTGTTTCTATCCCATGTTTTCCACCTTGTTCTCTATTTTGAAGCTTTTCATTCTGAAAATTTAGAAGTCAGTCAAAATGTACCCCCCTCAAAAGTTCAAATTCCCATCAAAATGTGCCTCCCTCAAACACCTTGATGGCGCAACTTGGGCCATGAAACCCCCTTCTGGGCACCCATAACAGTTTCCAATAACAAAGAGTAATTTTAAGCATCAAAATTCACGATTCTATACACAAAAGTTTACCAAATGAAATTATTTGGTTTATGAAAAAGAAATATCGTTGTTAACCTACGTCGGGTTATAAAAAATTAACTACCAGTTTCAATTTCAAAAATTGTAATTTTACGGGAGAAGCACAATAAAGTTGTGTAAGTGCTCAACTCGACAAAAATTTGTTTGTTGTTAAAGTTTTTTATCTTTACTTTTGTATTTATATACATGCATTTTAATGTTAATTTTACGAATATCGAACTATTAAAAACGTATTAGTAGGGAGAAATAAATTATGAATATATTTGAACAATGCTGGTTCATCATTTTGTTGTATGTTCCAATAATTTCTAGGAACTAATATCTAATTTGATTTTAAAATGCCGCTATCAACTTCTCAACTACCGCTCTCAATCGAATCGAAGGAAAATAATGTTTACTTTAATAATTGCAGAAATATGAGTAATCCATTATAAGAATTAAATATTATAGGTAAATTAATAAGTTGCAAATCTTTTATGTAAAATTACCTCTTTGTAACGTTTTTTTAAAGTGATTTAAGCAATTGAAGTAGGTAATTTACTAGAATAAATTTGTAAAATTACAAATCACGATTTTCTAGATAATTTATAAGTTCTAGTAAGCCTGAATGGTATTTACAACTTTATAGTCTAAATTAATCACTTATAATTTTAAAGTAAAATAACCACAGATTATTTGCTTAAACGTAACGTTCTTGAACGATAGCAGAAGTCTCCTGTTTCTGTTAAAAGGTCGTGGTTCGATTGTCATATGTAGTGTTTTGTTGATTTTGAAGTGAACTAGTTACAAATAAAAATGGATCTTTCTAAGGTCAAGAACAATGAAAAACTAGAACTTTGTTCTTGGTATTTTCGTGGTAAGTTGATGAGGAGGTTACTTTTTTGTTTTGAATATACTGACTGTTTTAACGATAATCGATTAAAAAGAAAATTATTTGCTGTTAATATAATAATAAAAAAAATAATAATATATTTGTTTCATTTTCTTAATAAATATACTAATTGAATATTAAAAATTAGTTTTCCATGAGTAAAATTGAATGTAAAAAAGTTAAATTTATGCTACCATATTTTAAAATTAAATGTATACCCAAGCTGATTAAGGGAGATTTCCATGAGTATATAAAAAAATTAAACTCTTCTAATGATTGGCACAGTTTGAGCCAATAGTGCATTTTATTTGTATTAGTTAGTCATATTTATAGTTCCCAAAAATAGCAATTTTTTCTAAAATACCTATTTAAGAGATCATAGGTAATAAAGAAATTTTATGAACTTTACAAATTCATTGTATACAAGTTTACACAAAAAGTTCAATAGCACCAGGAGATAGAAAAAATATAGATATTGATATGTTTTAAAGATGAAATATTTATAGGCAAATCAGACAGATGTCAATATAGGAAACAACCTTACCTCTGAAGAAGAAAGATAGACTATATACTGTTTTTCTTAAAAGCTTTCATAGAAAAAAAAAATTAAATATGTATTCATTTTGGTTTGTGATATAGTGCAGTAGATCTTTGGCCACTCAATGTGTTTTTTTTATGGTTTTAAGTTGCTTTCTAAAACACACACAACGTGGAAAGGGGTCACCCTACTTCGTTGTTTAAGGTCATAGTCTCCATGCTGCAGCGGCAGACAATCCATAGGGCTAGATCAATATCTTTTGTGCAGAGCAAATCTGGTAGTCCTTCCCATAAACTCACTCAGTTCCAAGAACACTGACAAATTGGTCTAAATTTGTGAATTAGAGTCAGCAGGCATACAAATTTCTTTCCTTGTAACAGACCATACACAAAGCAAACCTCTAGAGGACTGCTGACATCCTGGAAAATTGCCCAGTGAGTATGAATTGCCTCTAGTAGGCTATTGATCCTCACATACCTGGAAGGAGTAAAATTTTAGGCAGTGTGGCTTTTCCTTATGGATGGTTGGTGATTCAGGTGATCACTCATCCATGTGCTTACCATCCTGGATGTTGTTTAACTTGTATTAGGTATTTCAAACAACTTGACTGACTCCATTCTGAACCCTACTGGATATTTTTACATATATATTATAGTAATACCTAATTTGTAAAATATTTTCATGTATTATCATACCACTATTATTCTCTACCATTACAGATTGTTTGTATTTTAATATATCCTACAAATAGCAATCTTCCACATATATGTCTTGCCATTATTTACAATACTTATATATTTTAATATACAAATAATGTAATAATATTAAAAAGCTTAGCGAACACGAAGGTTGATGGTGATTCCACCAATCGCTTATAACACACCTTCCTCCACCGTTCATCATCCAAACCCTGTCCGTTCAGATTGACTTTAACACAATGTTATCATCTTCGCTTCGGTCTACCCTTGGACGTTTACCATTCAGCAAATATTAATCTTTTAGGATTTCTTTTGTTACTACGCCCAACAATTTTACAAGCCCATTTGATTTGCCGCGATATAATCACTTCAATTATATTAATTCGGCGTTGTATGCAACCATCTAAACTCTCGGGTAACTGATCCTTCTTCAGTCCGAATATTCTATGCAATACTTTATTTTCAAAAACCTTAAGACGTTGCTCATTCCTTAATGTGAACAGCCACTTTTCACATCCATAAAGAACTGTAGGTAAGATAGTGGTTTTATAGATTCTAGTTTTTAAGTTCCGGGAAAAGAGGCGCGAGCTAAGTAGTTTTGTCACAGAAAAATAATAAGCATTTCACGCCTTTAGCCTAACCTTAATCTCTTCTTCAATTTCGTTTTTTCTAGTTATCGTAGACCCTACATACCTAAATTTCTCTACTTGTTCAAACATATTACCTTCTATATCAATATCACCGGTAATTTCGCAATTTTTGCAGCTAACCATATATTTTGTCTTATCCGTGTTTATTTCGAGCCCTAGTTTTTTACCGGCTTCCATTAACCTTTTCGTATTTAATTTTATAGTTTCCGTGTCTTCACTAAACAGGACCAGATCATCCGCATAGCCAAGCACGGGTATTGTCCGACCCAGATCCAATCCTTTTTCGGCACTTTATTTACAAATACATTTTTTATTTATCATTACCAAGGAACTAAAATAATGACCACTAAGACAGAGAAAGAAAAATATATTAACAAGAAAATAAGAGGATAAAAAAGCATGAAAATGGTAATGATAAATCAATACATTTTTTATTTATCATTACCATTTTCATACTATTTTATCCTCTTATTTTCTTGTTAATCTGTGATTTTCTTTCCCTTTCTTATTGGTCATTGTTATAGATCCATTACTTAGTCCTGATGAAAGGCTAAAACTTAGATTGAAACCTCAGCACAAAATAAAGTAAGGTTTCCTATGTTTTATTTCATCTCTGACTGCATCCCCAGTCAACTTCTACTTGTAAAATACCTATTATAGTTTTGAAGTTTTAATAATATCTTCATGCCACCATTCACTTTAGAAGCCCAGCACTAACTAGAAGAAATCACCTGTTCCTAAGGGCTAAATTAGAAATTCTTTCAACATTTTCAAATTGGAGGAATATTTTGATAAGAGCCATAACATTCATAAGATTATCAATACCTATGAACTGGCAAACACATGTATTGTTAGTAGAGTTAGCTGCTTTTTCTATTTCCTGCCCTTAGGGAATTTCACCAATTATAGCTCCCGGCAAAGTTCCTGTTTTTATTTTATAATAGGATTATTATTTTAACTTTTTAATATGTGAACTGTTTATTACAAGAGGAGTGGGGTGGCGAGTGGGTTGACGCTTGTGTGTAGTACCACGCATTGCTCGGCAACCTGATAACTGAAGTTAGATGGAAAAATAATAACGAGTTCGTGTCCCGGTACTCGGTGGAAATTTTAACTTTTATTTTATTTATTTATTTATTTAAACCCTACCATGCCATTGAAGCAATACGGGTTTTGCAGAACTGGGTTGTTACACTTCTCTGCATAACAGCTAGCTTCTGCAATGAGACCAATTTTCATATCTTGATTTGCTGTTTATGGACTTATTCTGCTCCTCCTCATTCCAGCGGCCTCCCTGGCCTCTTCTTGCGAGTTTGAAGTGTGCGGGTCTGATTGCTTCTTTCCACCCCCACACAAATCTTTTGTAGCTCAGTTTTTCTAACTTAACTAGCTGAGGGAAATTGTTCTCTGTGGGACGTAGAGACCAGTCTCCCTCAGCAATTTGGCTCTTAAAAGCTCTAAAGCGGTGCAGTTCATGATAATGTGCTCAGCAGTCTCCAGGATCCCACAGCTAGGGCATAGGGGATCCGTGTCTTTTTCCAATTCCATGGAGCTTGGCACGAAAGCCCCCATGGCCTGTAAGGAATTACGAGGGAAATTTAATGGGAAAAACCTTCTGTAGCCTAAAAGGCAAGGAAGGGGAGAAAAAAAAAGTTTATTTATTGAAAAAGTCCCCATTGTGAAACGAGTTGAACAAAATTTTATTCCATGGTTAAAAGATCAAAGAAGTATATATATATATATATATATATATATATATATATATATATATATATATATATATATATATATATCCTTTTTTTTTAAATTTCTGTTCACAGTTGAAGAGCTTCTATTAATAAAAATTAATGTTTTAGAACATAAATGCAGTTTAAAGGAATATTATTTTCTTAAAGGAGTTCCATCATATTGATTATTTCTGAATATGATTCTAAATTTCTATGGGAGTCAAATTTTAAATTTTATTATACTTTTATTGTACTTAATTAAAACATATTTTATAATGGATAAAGCTTCAGTACTAACTGTTTTCAGCTGGATTTTTTGGACTTCCTATTGTTTGGTTCGTAAACGCAGTTTGGTTCTTCAATGAAGCTTTTAGGAAACCAGTTTATGAAGAACAGCGAGCAATCAAACGATGTAAGTGGTGAATGATTTTTATTGATAATTTCTGTTTCATTTCATCATTTTTTGTTTTGTGTTTTATGTTAAATACATATATATACTTTTTTCTTTTATTAAATCCAGTTAGCTCTATTATGATGTATTTTAAGGTTTCCTAATTTTCTCTGGAGTTTTCAGTACTTTGTTTTCACTACTTCTGTCAAAATTATGACATTTTTTGAAATGAAATCTTTGGTTTATTAATCCTAGGTTTAACTTATTACTTTACTTTATTTTGTAACTGAATATTTTGGACACTTTGATGAAACTGCATCAATTACATTTGGTCCATCATTCAATCTTTCAAATCACTTAATGCAGTAATCATTTAATTTACATTATCAACTCTACTTTAAACATTTTTATAGTTAGTCAACTAAGCAAAAATTATAAATACCATTCGTGTAATTGTAGACTTTATGTTTTTCAGATGTCATATTTTCTGGAATCGGGGCACTTATATGGAGTATTGTCATCGGAACTTGGGTTTACATTTTTCAAAGTTATCGAGTAGCATTTGGAGAATTCGGAGATTCAATTTCGTTTGTGATACCAACTGGAGTGCCTTGAATTTTACATGTATTTCACCATTTAGTTTTTATAACAAAGTGATAATTTTATTAAGTGGTACATTTTACACTTTTATATATTTTTAATAATAAAGAATAAAGTTTTTTATGTTAAATAGAAAAAAGTGATAAGCATTGTTGAAAAAGTAAGTGGAAAAATATGAGTGGCTTCATATCAAAGAAGGAAATCTGTCATTTTCAAAAAGTTGAGAAAAAGTCAGTTTTTATTTTGTAAATTCAACTCAAACCGTTTCTGGTGAGTTTATTTAAGAATGTTCAAGTTGAATTAATAAAAACAATCATTAGAATTGTTTTAAATGATAGAAAATTGGCTTTTTCTCAACTTTTTAAAAATGGCAGATGTACATCTTTGATATGAAGCTACTCATATGTTAGGTTAAAAACATTTGAATCAGAGCAAAAGTTAATTTAGTGATTTTTTATTTATATGTTTAATTGAAAAACTCAATTTTTTACAACAGAAAACTACCACAATTTGAGGTTTAGAAAATGGAATACGATGCTATCTGGAAAATGGTATTTAAAATATTCTTCCGTTACAAAACCTCTATTTTATTCTTTAATGTTATGTAACATATTCTTCTAATTAGCTTTTTGATACATTTTTATTAATTATGATTTTATTAATTAGCTATTAAAATTATATTTAGTTTATCTGTAAATGCTGACTGTATAAATATGAAGTTACTTTTAATTTTAGTTTTTACCATCTAGTTATTTATTATAAAAATATGTTTGTTAATGGAATTTCTATGAAATCAAATGACTCCTTGTCCATTAATTTGTCTCATGTATGATACTTACTATTACTCTAATGCAGCAAGGGTCTCCAAATTACGGCCTGCAATTGCCTCCAGTCCGGCCCGCGAATGTTTCTATGATTACATGGTAAAACTTTAAAAACTATTTAAAAAATATGAAATTTAGTAAATCACTCAAACACTCTGTTATGCAAGATTTGTTTCTCTTAGAAAGCCCATTTTACACCTGAAGTGTCATTTATGGAAATAGATATTTTTTTTCATTGCAAGCCATGCTTTGTGGGTCTTACAAGGAGATCTTAATACGACCTGCAGGACTTGGTGGAGGTCTCAATGTGGCTCGCAGGTCAAATATTTTGAGACCCCTGTTCTAATGAGTAAAATTTATTCAAAACTTAATATTTTTAACTTGCAAACATATTTGTTTGATATTATTTAGTAAGACAAGTTAAACTGAATTTTGTTTTTAATTTAAAAATATTCAACTTCATCAATTTTAATTTAAACCACTAAAGGTACTATTTCGCTGGTAATGCCCATGGCAGTTACCTGCAGAAATCACTATTACTGGTCACGATAGTAATTTTTATTTTATCACATTAGAAAAATCGTCATAGGAGATGAATTTTTCCTATATTTCTCTTTTCTTTAAATAGCTGTCTTTGGAACTTTTTTTTTGAAATTATTTTTCCATCATACAAGGAAGGGTGTGCCCTTGGCAGGATTCGCTAGTGCTGGTCACTATAATAATTTATTTTTATATTACATTAGGAACTTTGTCTATGAGGATGAATTTGCCCTATATTTCTCTTTTCTTTAAACAGTTGCTTTTTGGAACTTTTTTTGGAATTTTTCAATCTTCCAGGGGTAGGCACGCGCTCTCGGCTGGATCCGCTTGTGGTCTAGGTATGACGTCATATCTATACTGCTCTTTTCTGACAACTTCTGAAGCAGTGAAGCTGTTGGCAGTATGGTGTTTATAGGTTATGTTATATCGGAGCATTGTTTTGATGATAACAGTCACCTCGTTACGTTTCATTTTCTGTTTTGTTTTTTTCAAGTCTATCGAAATTAAATGTAATATTGTTTAAAATTTAAACAAACTTATAGTAAATCATTTTTTAAGGTTGAAATAACAAGATTATTTATTTATTGATAACACCAATAGTATTTTACAGAGAAATTCTAATATACCTTAATCCAAATGATATTAAATAAATTAAATAAGCCAACAAATTTTAATGTCAGGCAAATACTAAAATCCACACATTGCAAAATCAATTTGTATTTTTTTAATTAAAGTACTGATTTACCTTTTGATAATACGGTAAAATATTGCCTGCTCGGATTTCATTACAAATATATGATATTAATTACTAATCAATTATGTAATAATTACTGATACTTATCAAACTAATAATTAGTAATAAATTTAAAATCTGAAATAAGTCCTCAGTTCTTAAAATAATGCTTTATCAGCTTATTGATACCATGAATGCTTATATTTTATATTCAAAATATTATAATAAACAATAATTTTGTAGAATTTGTGAATTAATATGTGGATAATTGTTACCATTGCATAGTACAAACATAACCTAACCTTGTTATTCAACTTTAACTACCAGAAAATATTTCATGTTTTAATTAAATAAGATCGAAACTCTGCCATCAAATCTATTGCTATAATTCTGATGCAAACAAAAGCCATAAAATTTAAGGCTAATATTTTTATTTAAAATGATATCAAAGTAGGACACTAAATTGATTTGGCCATGACGGTGAGCAGTTTCAGCGAAATAGACAAGCATTAGCGGTTGGCAGTATGGCAGTAATAGCAGTCACTGCCATGGGCAGCACCAGCGAAATAGTACCTTATTTATTGTTTATTTATGGATTTATTAAGTAATTATAATTTATGGAATTGAAACAAAATCTACTCCAACGAAAATGTTTATATGTAACTTTTTTTATTTGTCTAATATTAAAATAACTTATTTCTATTTTTGTGCTTTCACAATATTCTTATAAAACTATTATTTTCAAACTATATTACAAAAGTGTTATAATTTATTAGTTTGAGGAATAGTTCTTTTAAAAAGTTAAACTGAAGCATTCCTTGAATTTCAAGGAAAATTAAAAAAACAACCATTTTGAACCAATTTTTGGCAAATCTTTATTCAAAATACAAAAAAAACAAAACATAGATTATAAAATACATACTATGCACCGGCGGATCTACGGGAAAAGGGGTGGGAGGATAGGAGGGGAGCTTTGGGGCTGAAGCCCCTCTCCCCCCCAAAATGATTAAATATAATCATGTTTTATGGAAAAAAAATATTAAAAAATTATCTCTAAGTATTATTGTTCGTGTAATCACATTTAAAAGGACTTTAGGAATCACTTAAACACCATTTCATATAGATAGTTAGTTTGATGAAGTTGATTCCATTCCTCCAACATTTGATCTTATCGAATAAATCATTGAGAAAATATAAGCATATCACAAACAAAATATGCACATCTGCAAGTGATGATAGGTAATGAAAATCTCATTCAAATCAGATTAATGGAGATAGATGATAAACCCGTATCATGGATTTGACTACTGACAGACAGACACGGGACCAAATTGGTTCCTTGATGTTTAAAATGTAAATCTTGAGTTGAAATGGTTGATCCTTAGGGAAAAAATTGATTTAAACTCCCATATGAATTTAGCAGAGCTTTGGTAGTGAGGAAGCAAAAAAAATAATTATTTTTTCACCTTTAAAAACAACTTTTAAAAAGATGTATATGCTTATGGTAAATAAGTATTTCAGTCCTTGCTTTCAATTCTAAAATACGGCATCGTTCCAAACTATTTTATTTTGTTTTTTTATCTAACTTTTATACAATTGAAATATATTTTTACATGACCTTGACAATTATTATTTTTTTATACTATTGATCTTTTATACAATTTAATGAGGCAAAAATCAAAAACAAAACTCTTTTATGTTTCTTTCACGTTACGTTCCATCTTAAATATTAGAGAATAGAAAATAGAATTCATCACTCAGCACCAACATTTAAAGAAAAAGAACCCTACACGCTCTCGATTATATATGAATCCACTGTCACATGGGCCAGATTTCATCTCGACTCATATCAGAACCATCATTAAAGGGCTAATTTGATATACATATAAGCAATATCAATAAAACATGTTTATTCGTTATATAATACAATATTATCAAAATAGATAGTCTATTAAACATACATTTGGCAAAGCTGCATACTTTACCACAAATGTGAAAGTAAAAGTGTATTTAATATGTGATCGTCTTCTCTCACCGATAAATATTCCTCCAGTTTAATAATGAACTTAAACTGATCCATTATTGTATTCTCTCAAGACTATTTTTTTATACCTGGATGTTTATTTTTGTTTATTAGAAATATTAAAAAGTTTTTTTTATCATAGGAAATGTCCAAGGGATCATAGAGCTATTTACCTGACCCCCTCCATTTACCTTCTACACTATCATATATATATATATATATATATATATATATATATATATATATATATATATATATATTTTAATTTTTCAAACCTAAACATATGATAAATATCTCATGGGAGCCAATAGCACCCAAGAGGCATTAGGCATGAATTACAATTTATTTCGAAAGTGAGACATTTTTGGACTTTAAAATATTGAGATCCATAGTTCTACTAAAACTATATCAGGTTTTGATGGCTTTGTTTTCGACTTTGAAACCTCCCAATTTTTTCAATGACTTGTATTAAAGTTTAAGATATTTAAGGATAAAAATCATGATTTATCTATTCTCCTTGAAATTCTCTTTCATTCGATACTCCATTTAACAGAATCCAAAATCCTAAGAGCTAGAGAAGGAATTTATATCACTGTAATATCTTTATATAATATATAGTGTAGATGATGGTTTAATGCAAAATTTCGATCAGTTGTAAGCACAAATGTTTTATTACATCTAGCTGTATTAATTTCTGAATGTAGTGATAATGTAATACATTACACTGCTTTCGAAATAAACAGTTATTACTAATAGTTTATATTATTTAAATTAAAACCATATCTCAGAAAATCGACTTAGTATTAATTTAATGTTATTTATATATGTTACATTATTCTTTCTTATGACATCCAAAATTGATACTGATTTATGATTATTTTATTTCGCCATTAATTTTAAGCAAATAATTGTGTTGGTTACAAGCACAAAAAGTTCTTACAAAGCATTTTGGTTACTTTAGTGATGAAATTTTTAAGAATAGTAGTAACTAAAAATCGTCATACCTTGTTGAAGGCAATGCCATAAATCAGCGATAAAAATAAAAAGAACATAATATTGCATGCAGTGCTATTTCTATATGCATTCAATTCCTTTCCATTTTTGTTTAAACCTTCATATACGACAAGTAGTCAAGTAGAAATTATTATTTCTGACCACAATTCCAGTTGTTAAAGAAGCTACAACAATCACTAGCTAGTGATTTGAAATTATCATCCATTGCTGGAAGTGTAAAGGTATATTTGTATATGGTTTGGGGTATTATTTTTGATATTTTTCTTTCTTGGTCGAGTTCAAGAAATTAGATAGCAAACAAAGAAAAGATTAATAAAGTAATTGGATGACTATAAACTTCTATCGCATGGAACAAGTTTGTGGAGTACTTAATAGATATACTATTAACCCACTACATTATTATAATTTTATTTCAAATCAGACTGTTTTCTTTTTTTTTTTTAGAAAAGGACATAAGTTTAATTAATTAGAAACAAATTGTAATTTATTATTATATTACAAGATATATTTGCAATTACTCTAAATATGTATGGCAATTAATACAATTATTACAATAATGTAATTTATATAACTACATATTATATACACATCATAGAAAAAAACGTTTTGAAGAGATTTAATATCCAACATTTATAAACTAATATTCACTTTTATTTAATAGATTCACTTTATAAAAGTCACAAATTTTAGAAAAAAAGTCACTTTCCTCGAACTAGAGTTTTATTCAGCTGATAGTTTATCTATTCTTCTTGTTTCTATTAGCTGACTTTCAATGGCTCAAAGCCTCCTTTCAGCTCGTCTTCTGATACTGAAAAAAAATAAAAGTAAATAATCTATCTGTTAATATTCAGTTGTTATGCACTATGAAATATTTTAGCAAGTACATGGCAATTTAAGTAAGCAATAAGCAAATTGTGACGGCAACGAGCCATTATGTTGGATCTTATTTACTGATTGTCGATTTTTGAGGTATGAATTTAAAAATAATATAAAATTTGGTCGTAATAATTCTATGGCAATTTGATTTTTTTTTTAATCAAAGAACTAAAAAACAAAGTACTATCTATGGTTAGATGTATGCCTCTTCGACATTTTTAATATTTTTTGGTATAATCCTTTAATAATTTTTGTTATGTTTTATTATTTTGTAACTTTAAAAAAAAAAAACATAAATTCATAGCTCAAAAACGAAAATTAATACAAAACCGAAATTGTGTATTTAAGGTTTCTATATGTCTGGGATGGTACAGCAACTTTTTCGTCAAATTGGACATACTAGAAGTGAGACTTTATATCATCGATTTAACACATTTTTACGATTTTATCAAAAACGGCTCTAACGATTTTGATTAAACTCACTAGGTCAGTGTATTATTAAGTGTTTTTTTTCAAAGGAAGTTTCATCCTCATCGATACAACCAAACATGGCTTAAGTGCCTAATTTTCCAACTTTCCCCTTTAATTTAAAATAATTAACCATTTCACATTTGAACCTGCTATAAAAAGTGGTTAAATGTAGTGAATGAAGAAAAATTGATTGGTAACTAAAGGAGAAATAAGTGTAGGAAGGCCTAGGATATAAGAAATGTAGGAAGCTTAGCTGTTTAGCCAAGAGAACCCGACCTTTGCCGATCCTCTCCCTTTACAGATACTTGATACCCCTCTATACAGGGCATTCATAATGTCAGTTTAACTTTTATGAGACTTATTCATAATTTTTTCCAAAGGTTTTCACACAAAATGTTGAGGATATAGTAATGTAAACTTAGTAATATGCAATATTTACTAACGTTAAGTTATTTTTTCCACGAGTGTTTCCGCTAAAACTCAGAATCTCCATAAAAGATCCATTTTCCGCACAACCATTAGATATTAAAATGGAAGGAATAGAAGGAAATGGAAAGCGATGCAAATCAATAAATTTAACTGATTCAATGGGCGGTAAAAACATGGTAATTAATTGTTTTAAGTAAAGTTATACCGTCTTTTTCACTCAGACTTCCTATAATAAAATAGCTATTTACCATAAGGTTGGAAAGTGAAAGTTGTGTAATGTGCGCACCACACCAGATTTTTTTTTTATTGATATTCCTGTTTTAATACAAATTTTTATTGATTGACAGTCAGCAAACAGATTCGATAGAGATTTGTATATTGGACAAAAGACACCCCAAACTATTACTAGCACACAATAAACTATTATTAATGATACATTATTTCTAAATGGACCATCAATATTTTTTTTATAATTTAAATTTTTTGATCTTTGGAATAATGATTACAAAACACTTTATGGTAGGGAAATGGAAATGGAAATTTTTGAGGATCAAACTTCCCATATCATAGTAAAATAAGAAATAAAAGCTTTCAACAAATTATTGTAGTCATTTTTGCTGAAGACGGTAGGGGTAACCGGATAAAAATCACATAATTTCTTTCACAACAAATTACAAATTTTTAATTGAAAATAATGAACGAAACCGATTTTTATAAAACAAATCCAAGAGAAATATAAAAAAAAAAAAAGTGTTTGCTGAATACCATGATTCTTCAACATTAGGGATTTGAAATTCGTACTCATGTAATCAATCAAATGAAACTTCCCATTCAAGTATCGAGTAAAATCCATTTCTTAATATTTGACTTAGAGGTGTTATTAAGGAGAGTACTGCAAATTAAGAACTCTACCTCATTAAAAGGCAACCATTTTAAATTTTGTTAACCATTTATTTTAAACCATTTTAAAATTAAGAACTTTAAAGCTCTCAATTTTATACTAAAGTTAACGATGTATTATTTGAGTTAATTTCAAATACCCAACATCATGAAGATGGAAATAGGGTTCGAAATGTCATCCTAAAAAGTCAAGAGAGAAAAAGAGTTTATAATACATCTCAGGAATAAAAATCAATCAATTTAGGTTTTGCAATATAGATATAATTAGATTTTTTAAATAAAACTATTGTTTAGTTTCTATTAGATACTTTTTTACAAATTTGACTTCTTTTAGATTAGTATTGTACCACAATAATATATTAGTACTATTTATATCCTTTATTCATAGAGAATTTATTACTTAAAATGAAAATTTAATTGAATACTGGTTTATTTCTAGTTATTGAGAGCATATTAGTTTTTACTAACAATTATTTCCAGTTTTGTATTTTCTTTTATCGAATTGTAGTAATATTTATTCCTTGAAATGAAAAATTAATGGTTGCCTATGACATATTCATATCCAATTATCGACTACCTTAATCTCACTCTGCCCCACTGTTTTGTATCACATACTTAATTTAAGAATCAAGTTTAAATACTTATTCAATAAACATTTATCCCTAAAGATAAATATGATATTGGGGTCTATAATAGTGAACTTTTCCCATATTTTAAAATCATTTTTTAAGAGGAGGTTTGACAATGCTTTGTTATGTTCCAATGCCAATTAATGTTATTAGATAAAAATTATGAAAAAAAATACATTTTATTTTTTGCAAAAAAATATCTTAGTTTTTTTTACTAATGAGTTACTTGAGGTTGGTTTCCGGCCTTAGTATGTATAATAAAATATCAAAATAAATCATCAATGTTTTCCAAATTATATGACTATCTCAAAATTAGGATTTAGTTAGAATCGTTGCTTGTGGGTTGTACAACTAATTTGTAAAATGTTATCATCATTGTAAAATCATAATTTATTGATAATCTTATTAAAACCTTCCTATTCTTATTATTTTCAGCCAAGGTTTTAATTCTAATTTCAATTTACTACCAAAATATCTTACCTGGAGGAAGAAAATCATTATTCAGATGAAAATATCTGGTATTTTAAAACCTTCGTATTCTTATTATTTTCAGCCATGGTTTTAATTCTAATTTTAATTTACTACCAAAAGATCTTACCTGGAGGAAGAAAATCATTATTCAGATGAAAATATCTGGTAGAAACAGAACATTCGACTAAGTCTTCTGCTTGGCAAGTTCTGCTTCTTTGGTTGAACTTAGTGGTGGCACCACACCAGAAGTGAGATTTTAGAAGCCTGAACAAATCATTTATTAATTGAAAGATGTTAAATATAAATTGATTATATATTATATATTAAATTCACAGTCAGATAAATAAAAAAATTAAATTAAATTTGCTTATTTGAATTTAAATTGTATTATTATTCACTGTGTTATGAATTTTGCTAATCTTTGTCTGCTAAGATAATGGAGTCAAACTATTTCATAATACAGATATAGAATTGTAAAATATTATAAACAGAAATATTAAATATATTTAACTAAATAAATATTTCTCTGTAGAAACTAATTTAAAACAAAAACTCATTTAAATGAAAATAATTTGGCTAAGTTTATTTTAAAATACTCCAATGATTTTTACCCTATACTAAAATGATTTCTCTATGATAAAATAATCTATTCATTCATTAAACAACTGAAAATCAGTTTAGTTTCTGTTTCTCAGATTATTTATATGCATTAAGTATAAACAAATAAAACAGAATTCATTCTAAAAATTTGTCGCTTTCTAGTTTTCGCTATTAGAATTTTATTAGGTTTCGCTATTAGTCTAATCAAACATGCATTTTCATAGAAAATCCTTCTAAAAGAAAGTTATGATACTTACGGTCCATTGATTTCTCCTTGTGAGCATATGAAAAACCCTCTGCAGTCATTGTGCATGTCAGCATAAAAACCACCCTTGACCTTTCCTTCACAGTCAAAATTTGGGTCAGGTGAGAGTGATGCAGAGGTAGTTAGGGTGGATTGAGTGGTAGTTGTTGAATCAGTAGGTGGACGTTTTCTGGATCTTCTCACTGGTGGTGGAGATGGACTGGAGCTAGCAAGATGATAATCTTCTTCTTGGACCTTCCAAGAAGTCTTTGTAGGTTTTGGTTGTACCAAAGTTCTTACTGGAGGCTTCCTCTCCGTTTCAGTGAAAGCAGTTGTTGTTTCGTAATTAAACTTAAAGGCCCTTCTCAAACTAGTCGTTGCTCTGGGTTGCTCTCTTCCTCTTCTTGATGTTTTTCTGTATTCTATCGTCGTAAAATCATTATCTATGGCTTCAGAAACTGGCTTCGATGGATGGACGCCTTCGCTGGTTCTTCTGCTTCCACCAAAATTGAAATTTTCCGTGTCGATCTTCTGTCTAATTACTTTTCTTCTGTTAGACCTCTGCGGTTCGGTACTTGTTGACTGTTGGGTTCTTCTCTGCTGAGCCCTTCTCGTCGGTGGAGGAGGAGTGCTTACCCTTCTAATTTCACCAGTACCAGATGTTTGGCGTTTTTTTCTAATTTTAGATTCAACATCTTTTACGTTTGCTTCGAATGTATAATTTAAATCTATATCTTTCCGCATATCATCGAATTGTTTTTTCCATTCGTTCAATTTTTTGACGCCCTCTTGAATTCTTCCTGTTTTAGTAACATCTCGTTCATCTTTAACCTTTTCCACAAGTCTGTTTCCTATATTAGCTAATACTCCTCCATAATTTTCTAATTTTTCCATTTCGCTTTCTTCTTTTTTAAATAAATTTGACATTTTTTGTTTGACCCTATCTTCAATATCGATTGATCCTAATAAGTTTTGAAGAAATTCTTCTCTCGCATCTAATTTATTTTCTACTGTATAATATTTGTCGAACTGTCTTTCAGGTTTTTGCAGTTGTGTGTCATTCTCAGAAGTCCTTTTCTGTCTTATTTTCGGAACATCTGCGAAAAACGAATCGTGCACTTCGTGAATATCGTCCTGATAATCTTCGTATCCCGTTGGGTATTCAACAGTTGTATTTCCTTTGGAAGTTTTGACACTGGTAGACGTGCTTGTAGATGTAACAACTGAAATGGTTCCTTGGGCTTCGGGAAGTTTTCTTGCATGGAAATACTGAAAGTTGTAAGGTCTTGTTGAATCGTAGCTATGGCCGAAGCTTGTATCACCACTGTGGAAATGATGGTAGTTTGATCTTTCCGTAGTAGGGGTGAAGAAATATGGTCTTTCCTGCTGTTGTAAATTTAACGATCCAAAACTTTGAGAGTCAGAATTATAAGTATGAGGTTTGAAATTGGAGCTTGTACGTTGAGTAGTATACGCCGTGTATGGTTTAGGAGTCGATTTCGTGGGTGAAAAAGCGTTGTTTATCACTCTTGGAGGAGCGGGCTTGACCTTGGAATTTTGAAGACCTTGATTAAAGGCATTGTGGAGTGCTAAGAGGGCTGCTATCGAATCCTGGCTGGAGGTTTGATATTTAGTTGGCCTAGGCGTGGTTGTGGTGGTGGTGGTAGGTGTCGTCGTAGGCTTAGGGGTTGTAGTTGTCGTTGTAGTGGTTGTCGTGGATGTGGCGAATGTGGTCGCTTCTTCGCTCTCTTCGTAATCTTCATCTGTACTGCAATCTTCACATTCGAATTCATTTTCAGGTTGAATTCTGTAATAGACATACATAATTTATTAGACATAGTGCATAAACTAATGAAAGTACCATGAGGTATATATCTCAAAATTATTGAGCCTAATTGAAATTTACCCTAGGTTGGCGTTATTGCCATACAGTTCCAAGTTCAGGCCGAAGAAGTCTTCTGATTTCGAGCAGTCAACTTCATCAATCCTTTCACAGACTCTTGTCTCCTGGTCGAAAACTGTGCCATTGAGGCATAGGAATTTAATATCAGTGATTTCACCTGAAAGTTAAATTTAGTTAAACTTTAATTATTAGTTGATTTGTAATGCTCCTGAAATAGAGAACATTTGTGTTTTTACAAATTTCGAAAATAAAGGAAAATTTAGTTAACTGATTTAGCACACACACAGAAAAGAAACAAAATTGAGAATCTTTTTGTAATAAGATTTGTAGGAACCGAGCTTCTTGAGAGGAAGATAAATTCCTTTTTCTATACTGGCAAGTCAGAATTCGTAACGTTAGATTGATATCTGATTAGGCGAAGACTCGTTCGCAGGGAAGAAAATAATGCCAAAGTACAGGAATAATTTTATTAGAGGTGTGTCCTATTTTGTTTTATCCAACAGTATCGTCCCAGCAGAAGTTTAGTCACTGAAAGAGGCAATATGTCAATATAATCGGAAAAAAAAACCTCCTTACTACTTCAGAATGTTTTTTAACTCTTGTAATGACACTTCACCTTGTTAAACTTCAGGCCGCAAATGTAAAAATTACGAACTATAATTTCCCTTGACAATATGTCTTCTGCACAAATATCACATGTTATTCGCATGTTGTTTTGGTATAAACTGCCTAAACCTGAATTCTTTAATCTATTTTTTAAATGAATAGACTATGGAATATCTGTTTATTTTGCACTAAACGAAACACCTATGAATAAAACGTGGCCTCTCTGAAATAACCGGTTCAATTAATCAAGTACAAATAATATAATATGTCAATTAAATCAATGTAAAGAACAAAATTGTTAAGTAATCGTCTATTCTGATTTCTTCACGAAGTTACATGAATAAATCAGATTGGTCAAATGATTGTTAAAAGAGTACTGAGTAATTAATCAAATACAATTAAATTAAAAATATATTTATTTAAATTGATCCAGACTTGTTAAGTAGCCAATGAGTTGAGTGAAAAATATTAATATATTCAATATTTTCTTAAGATTTTTGTTTGAGTTTGGTATTGATTGGTTCAATTGCATTTTCTTTTTTTTTTCTGTTAGTGGTATATGACATACATACGATAAACATATGGTAGATGTACTTCTTTATTTAAACAAGGAAAATTGAAATTAGGTTCTGGATGACTACAAATTGAATTAATTACATGTTCATCATGTTTTACAGGTAACCAGGTAATGTATATATTAGGAGTAAATAAATTACCTTTTTGGCCAATAGTACAAACATGGAACATCTGACATCCTGTTTCCACGTCTGCATAATAACCACCTATGACCTTCTTGTCGCATGAGAAGTTCGTTTCTGGAAGGTTATCGAAATCGAGGTACTGGAAAAAAATTAAGCACAAGATAAAGTTAATAAAACGTTGTAAAAAAAAAAGAGAAAAAATTAATGAATCTCAGGATAACATTTACAGTCCTGTAAATAAATATGAACACTATAAATAAAACTGAAATCTTTTAAAAATAATTTGGTGCCAAACAACTATTTTAAACCATACTTTATTACATTGGCAGGAGCATTTAAATTTACCGTTTTATTCATATATAATTTCAAGGTATATTTTCAATTTACATGAATTTACAAAATACGATATTTTTTTAAGAGTTATGTGATTAATAGAAATTTATTATCAGGATCATAAAGTGGAACGAATTAAGCAAAAACTGCTGTCATTCCTTTATTCAAAAATACTACTGTATAGTTTAGTAGATTTTTAAAATAGCATTCTTTTTATGTTTATATCAACTCTAAATTTCTTAACTAACAATATTGTTTTATCTTTTATGTATCACTCCTTAAACTTTTATGTGTATCACACACATTTTTTTTTTTTTTTTTAATGTTTGGTGTTAAACAAAAGACTATAGTGAAACTAATTGAAAAAAATGTTAAAATATTTTCATGAAACTTAATATGATCTGGATTTATGCAGAGAAATATTATATTTCATCGATAAAGTCCGTATATCATCTGTCATAAAAATCAGGATAAAACTCAAATAAGGATCTAAATATTCCATCATAGATAAAATAACATACTAATAAGAAACCTCATTTTATTAAGTTGCGACGTTTCTGCTTACGTTTTAGGCCTTAACCATGACAAAATGCATCTGAATCCTAAAACAAGTTTAAAATCTTAATCTCATGTCTGTGCTAAAATCACAGACACAACAGAGGCCCATGTACCTCTACGGTTGATGGATGCATGAAGACATTTAAAAGACGTTAATTGCCCACTACCGTTGCATATATTGTTGTGTAGAGGCGTTCTGATGGATTGCCTCGTACCTCACCATCTTCACTCCATCTCCCTTGCTTTCATTTCATGAAATTTTGACTGACCCAGCTTCTTTTAGTAGTTCTTCGTTGTTCATTCTCCTACATGCGTTATGGTTCAGGCCCACTAGCGGATCCAGGATTCTATTTTGGGGGAAGGGGCTTAAGCCCGAAAGCTTTTTTTTTTCATATAAGTATAACAATAATTTTGAATATTTAATAGTTGACTGTTGCATTTTAAAGGAAAGAGATGGTTCGGGGTGGCGGTCATAAGTTGTCTAAATAGTGGTAAAACTATTTTATTAAAAGCCAACGTTTCGACCCGACTTTGCAGGTCTTCTTCAGGGAGGTGTGTTCAGCTAGGAGTTTCACTTAAAACTCCTAGCTGAACACACCTCCCTGAAGAAGACCTGCAAAGTCGGGTCGAAACCTTGGCTTTTAATAAAATAGTTTTACCACTATTTAGCCTATTTATGACCGCCACCCCGGACCATCTCCTTCCTTTATAACAATAATTAATTGGGAAAAAAAAGTAAGAAATTAACTACCTATATGAAATGGCGTTTAAGTGGTTCTTGAAGTCCTACTAAATGCAATTACACGAACTAGAATACTTTAAGAGATAGTTTATAATATTTTTTCTGTGAAATTTTATTTACCATTACTATGGTTATATTTGCCCATTTTGGGGAAGTGGGAGAGGGCTTCAGCCCGAAAGCACCCTCCCTCCCCATATATCTGCTTGTGTACAGAACCGAGGTAGTTCTGGTTGCCTTGTAGTGGATTTTTCTTTCGAATCTCTCAATCTTGCTTTCTAGACTAGGGTGCCGATTTTTTTTTTAATTCCCTTCCTCGTATTTTAAGGCTATACTGGGCATGTAACCAAGTTAAGAGGTGAGGGCGAGGATTTAATGCCAGTTAAAATAGAGCCTCCTCGGCACCTGGATGCGAACTCGTAATTATGATTGTAGTGTATCGATGAATTCTGTAAATCAAATACAAACAATTTTCTCTTTATTGTTCCTAAACACATTACATCACATTGCATTAGTGCTCTTAACCCTCACAAAACATATGACTAATTCCAAAAAGATTGAATACTAAATCGATATAACATCGATTCAGTATTCAACCCTTTAACAAAAGGTTAATATACTACAATTATATTATCTATAACTTGGCTTATCAAGTTGCCGAGGAACGCGCGGTACTGTACTCACGCGTTAGCCCGCCCGGCCACTCAGTCCCTGGAGGTTCCGGTTAGAACCCTAGTTTAACAGGAGACTGCAGAACTGGCTTTTTCGTGGAGTTTTACCCCTTAATATGAGGTTTCTTGATTTCAATATCCTAGATTTCATCATCCTAGAGTCTCCAAACTACGGCCCGCGAATGTTTCTTCGATTCAGAGATGGACAAATGCTACTCTGAGTACTGAGTATTAGATATTTTACTCAAATACTGATCATTTTTGACTACCAAAGAATTTAATTACTATTTCAGTCGATGTCAAACGTTTAACTGAAGTATTGATTGGATTCCCAATTGTGATTCAATTTGAGTAAAATACTTGGTACTCGGTACTCAAAGTAGCATTTGTCCATCTCTGCTTTGATTGTATGGTAACATTTTAAAAAATATAAAATTTAGCGAATTACTTACTCACACACGAGGTTACTGCAACATTTATTGTATGGTTTTTCTCTTAGAAAGCTCATTGCACAGCTGAAGTGTCACTTATAGAGCAAGATTTTTCTTTTCATCAAAAACTGTGCCCTGGAACTTTTATCTTAATGCAGCCAGCGAGCTATAAGTTTAGAGACACCTGCCATAGAGGCAGAGAAGAAAGTTCTGTTTGTGTTTGTTATACACTGATCTATTTCTGTTGGATAATCATCAGGTTATTGTGGACCCGAGATTAATAGAATCTGTCTAATTTTGGGAATAACTTAGAATCAACGTAGATTCTGCTAATAGAGTGAATTTTTCGACCATCAAAAATTATATCTTCATCTCAGTTTTTAATTCATCTACTTCCCATAATTCTCAAACTCATAGTTCTTCATAAGTAAATTCTTCATATACATATGACAAGATCTGTCCGGCTGCTCTCATCAGAGTCCGAGCGAATTGATCCTCTTGATTGTTTCCGAGAACAGCTATATCCCACGCGTATACAATATTTTATGTTTAATTCAGACAGATTTTATGTTTTATATGATTATCACCTTCTCTTGGTGTAAGTTAAACAGCATCGGCGGAAGTTTGTCTTACTGCTTCAAACCTGTTAGAAATTCAAAGGCTTCAGATACTTCTCTTTGAATCAGTGCTCTGTTTTAATTTAATATTTTCTGTACTTTCGCTTTCGTCTACTTTACTAATTTGTCGGCTCAGTAATATTCTTCCAAAGCCAATTTCTGTCCACGTAATCACACGTCTATAGATGTATGTATATAATTTTTTTTTTTTTTTAATTAGCTAGCTTTTAGTGGGCTCGCCCAGTAGGAAAAAATAGTTAAATGATCGAATGAAGTTACGATATGAGTAATCTACGTAAACGGTTTTTTAAATATTATTTTTTATGAAACATTTATTAAAGGCATTTAAATGTTTCATGCTGAAAATAAAAAACTAAAATAGGTTTTTTTTTGGTTTAATTTTTTTATTCACACATGTCATAGTGAGGTCGATGGGAAAAAATAATGTCATAAAAGGCATTACAAGGATCAGTGCCCAGCGGCACCTCACTCGACGTGATATCTACATTAGGCGAGGAGGTCCCTCATCCAGCTCCTCTTCAGTCTCCTACAGACGTTACCTGGTATATTCGTGGTGGCCATGTCACTTATAAGTGTATTAGGATGTCCTTGTAAGTTGTCATGAAATCGTTTGTAATGAGTTCGTATGTGTTCGTTAACAGTCGGCATATGGAGGTCAGTATGTAAGGTTATGTTGCTAACGTACCAAGGTGCTTTTGTAATTGTTCTGAATGTTTTTGTTTGAAAGATTTGAAGTTTGTTTAAGTGAGTCTTTTTAGCAGTTCCAAATAACTGTGATAAAAACTAAATTAGTGGTGAAACAAAATGAGAGAGAGGTCTATCGCAGGCATCCTTTATGATTTCAACTTTATAAGTAATGAAAAATTATGTCAGGATTTTTTTTCTTGACACTTCGAGAAAGACGTTTTGGAATTTCTATAAAAAGAGGTTTCTTCGGATTGGCCAGTTGTGCTTTTCCTCCTCCTCATTTTCTTTAGTTGATATGAAAGATGTATTGCCTTTTTACAACTTTGTGAGTGCATAAAAAAAAAAAAAACGGATTTTTCTATCTGCCATCTGCATTCGCTATGGAGGAACGCGAAAGTCCATCTACCAACTGAAGGAATAAGAAGTATACAGTTAGATAACCGCTGAGAAAGGGACTCGGTTTATCTTGTCAATGAAGCTCACTGGGGAACGTTAGCCAACGAGAAATACAAAGTACATCAAGATTAGTTCCTGATAGCATCTCTCCTTAGATGAAGCTAAGGATTCAGTATAATTGTGGGAAAAAAAGAAGAAATATTTCCTCTAGCAACTAAAAGAAACTGATATCATTGCTTGGAATCAATTTCTTTGAATATTATCATTTACTATTTACGTATTTATGTCGAAGTGTCTGTACATGTTTCAGTAATTATTCCAGGAAACGAATCATTCATTGTCTGATCGTGTTTATCTTTTGTTTATGTTTATGTTTGGCAAAAGCATTGGTTCGCATAAGTAATAAACACTCCAGTTTAAACATAAATAGGAGACGGGGTAGCCGAGCGGGATAACTCAGCACTGGTAACCACACGACAAACTGAAGTTAATGGTAAAAAATAATCATGAGTTCGCGTCCTGGCGCCGAGGGGTGTTTTCAACTCTGGCATTGATCTCTCGCCCTCATCCACTGGCCCGGGAAAACTCGTATAGCCTTTATACTTATGCTTATATCTTCACCTTCCACGCCTTGGCGGTATGCGTGAAGACATAAGCATAAACTTAATTGATTTATTATTACTATTTTGTATCACCAAAAAAACAATCGTTATTGATGTTTTTCACTCGGTAGATTATTCTACAACTGTTCCATGTGATTGGTAAAAATAATATTTTTTTCTGTGGGTTTTTGCGCGGTCGGTTGACGGAAATATGTCAACAGCGATTGGTGGTTTCGGGTTCGCTGAACTTCAAGTTCTTATGGATTTAAAGTTTGGATTTAGCTGGCTTGCTAACGTTGAGTGATAACATCTACAATTTGTATACCGACTCATATTTTTTTTGGTATTTTTCTAGTACCCATAACTTAAGATTTCACCAAAATTTACTCAATTTTACTTTAAAATAAATGACTAGATTAAATAAATAGATTAAAATAAATAGATGCATCATTAAACGAAAAACAAGTAATCAACTGTGGTACCTCTTATCTTAGCATTGAGTGACTCCTAATATATAATTTCAATAAACTAAATAATAAATGTTAAATTGAATTATAATCCCTATTTTTTAATATTTGCCTGAACCTTAAAATGCTTTATCAGATAAATATTAGGAGGAAGAAATATCGTTTTCTTACATTAAATTCAAACAAATAGATTTTTAACAAGTGCTTATTTTTAATCAATGATGTAATCACATCACCCTCATTATCAACAACCTTTTGCCATCTAACGTGCAAATTTTACTCCTCTTCTCGATGTAAATCCATTTGTTTTTTAGCAAAATATACAATGAAGTAATTTTGGGCATTATCCGAATTTGAAAATTTATTGTCACTTAGGAAGTGGTGAAGCGATCGGAATAAATGGAAATCCGATGATGCAACATCAGACGAGTATGGTGGATGAAGCATTACCCCATTAATTAATTTTTTACAGGATTCGTCTTTCGCAGTGCGATCTTTAGTGCGATTATCGTGTTGACAATCGCGGGCCACTTTTTAATTAATGATTGATTTACACGATCCAATTGTTCACAGTAAAGGTGTGCATTCACAATTTGTCCAGGTTTCAGCACTTCAAAACAAATAACGCCGCGAATACTCCACGAAACACATCAAAAAGTCTGTTTGGGGTGTATAAATGGCTTAACAGTACTTCGTGGGGATTCGTTTGGGTAGAGACCCTACCTTTTGCGTTTTGGATTATCATAGACGACCCATTGTTCATTTTCGATGATCAAGCGATCAAAAAACGCTTTTGTATTGTGCCGTTGAAGCAGTACGTTCTATGTGGGGGTTTCTCAATCTACAAAGTTTCTTGAATGATCGACCAATTTTCGTTAAGACTCGTTCGTCTGAATCTGATTTGCTTTGACTTCTGCCCTTAATATGTCGTTGTCTGAAGTTGATGGTCTTCCTGAACGACAAAAATCGGAAGGATCAAAATTACCGGATTTGATTTTGGGAAAGCATAGTTGTCATTTATGATCGTCTAATGCATTTGGACAAACATCGCAAATGTTTTTCATAGCAACTGTTGAGTTACTACTCTTGTCTTACTAAAAAAGCATGTTTGTCGGATATGTACCTCTTCTGATACTTGGCTGGCCATTTCATCAACAATTGAAAAACAAAATTTTTATATTAATTATTTACAACTAAACAAATCACTACAATCTTAGAATGTATTTTCCACGACTTAGATGTACACAATGAACTAAAAAATGACAACCAAATAGAGACATGCATAGAAATGACATTACTTTCCGGTCCCCAAATATTTTGTTTTACGATAAAATATATTTTATATTTTTGTTAAAATCAATATACTATCGATTATTTCCTTAAAACCTAACATGATTATCCAAATATCGTTATAGACATCTTATATTTGCTCTATGATTGAAAACAGTTTTTTAAATCGGCAGTCCAACAATTGTGTTTACCTACAACGCGTGGTGTATAATTCGTTTCGGACAATGACCGAACAGGAACATCCAAACGCGTTGTGTGTAAAATTTTTCTTCGTTTCGTACAATTCAAAGTAATCCCTATGGATGAATATTATATTTATGAAAATATTAGTGGCTTCATATCAAAGACAGAAATCTATAATCTTCAGAAAGTGGAGAAAAAGTTTTTTTGTTTTATATGTTCAACTCAAACTGTTTACGATGATTTTATTTAAGAATGTTGAAGTTTAATTCAATATTTTTTTTTTTTTGACTCTATATCTTCATCCGCACCTGTCATGGTAGTGACAATTAGCAGATTAGCTGTTTAAATTGAAAATGACATGATAGGCATGACGAAGAATGGAGCCCAGCAGCACCTCTTCCCTGGCCTGTTTATATCCTAAAATCAGGAAAGGAGATCTCTCATCCAGCTCCTTTTCAGTCGCCTCCTGATGAGCATTTCAGCCGTGGCCATTTCTTTGATAAGTCCATTGTGATGTCCGTGTAGTTTTAGATGATATCGGGAGTAAAGAATACGTATGTGCTGGTCAATGGTTGGTTGTCTTAGGTCGGTATGTAAAGTCTTATTGTTGACGTACCAGGGAGCTGCAGTTATTAGTATTAAAATTTTAGATTGAAAGGATTGTAGTTTTTGTAAGTGAGTCTTTTTTGCTGAACACTAAATCTGTGAGGCGTATGTCCAAATGGGTTTGAGCAGGTAAGTGTATGTATTTAGTTTTTGTCTAATTTTCAATTTTGATTTAGAAAACAGTGAGTACAATATTTTCAGTCGCTTGTTCAAACTCTTTCTTTTCATTTTGATGTGTGGGCCCCAGGTCATCCTTCTGTCAAATATTAGTCCGAGGTAGCGTATACTGTCCGTCTGAGGAATTGGATTGTTGCTGATATAAACTGGTGGGCATGTTTCTCGTCGAAGCGTAAATGTTATGTGTTGTGATTTGTTATGATTTAATCTAATTTTCCAGAGTGAATACCAATTTTGTAAATTTAGTAAATGATTTTGTAAATTTAATGAGGCTAGTCTGGGGTCATGGTGTTTTGTTAAAATTGTTGTATCGTCAGCGTAAGTAGCAGTCAATGTTTCAGAGTTGGTAGGCATGTCATGCGTATAGACAATGTAGAGTAAAGGTGCCAATATTGATCCTTGAGGTACCCCTGCTGATACTGGTCGAATTGAGGAAATTTCTAAACCCTGTCGGACAGAGAAGAATCTGTCGAAAAGGAAAGATTGGAGAATGAGATAATATGTATTAGGCAGTATAGTTTTGAGTTTGAGGAGAAGTCCCTGGTGCCAGACTTTATCAAATGCCTGGGCAACATCCAGAAATACGCCGGTAGCATATTGTTTTTGCTCTAGCGCTCCAGCAATGTAGTCAGTAACTCTGTGTAATTGGTGTGTAGTTGAATGAAATGTACGAAAACCGAATTGATGGTCAGGTATTATTTGTTGGTCTGTCAGTATGTCAACCAGTCTTTTGTATATTAATTTTTCGAAAACTTTGGAGCATATCGGAAGGAGACTGATAGGTCGGTAGGATGAGGGATTGAAAATGTCTTTGTCCCTTTTGTGTATCATCTTGATATGTGAGTATTTCCATTGTAATGGAAAGTTATTTGTCCTCAGAATACAGTTGTATATTGTCGTAAGGAACACTAGAGCTTTCCTAGGCATTTGCTGGAGACCCTCGGCAGTTATTAAGTCATAACCTGGAGCTTTTCTTTTTGGGAGATGTCTGATTTGTTGTGCGACTTGTGAAGGAGTGAAAGGAAGAGGGGGAGGTGTCATCTGTAATGGTATGTCTAGAGTATCAAATACTAAGGTTTTGTATCCGTATATTTCAAGATCTTTTTTAATCTCTTCAATTGGTGTATTGTGATGAAGGTCTTTAATCACCACGCGAGGATTTCTATCCTCAGGAAGCTGATAAGTATGAAATTCGGCTCCGCTGTTTTTCAAGCAGTTAACTATTTGCCTGTAATTGTTTGGGGTCTGGGGGTAAATAGTTACTCCCTTAGAAGTTGTTTTTAGCAAAAAGGAATCTGGTCCTGAATTGGATTGTAAATAAGACACAAGAGCCGCGTAGTTTTCGACACCGGTGATGTAGATTGGGGGTGGATTCTTAGTATTATTAGATGGTGGATTAGCAGAAGAAGTTTGACATTGGTCATTAGTACTAGAAAGAACCTGGAAACTATTGCTAGTAGTTACCACTACTTTCTGTTTTTTCTGTTTCCTCGGATCCCTGTTTTCAGTAATGTTTCGTTTTCTTCCTGTTCCCATTTCCCATGCTCCTCTTTCGTTGCCTGCGCACGGAGCATTGTCGTAGCAGTCCATACGAGCCGCAGCTTGGGCTGCCTCGGCCTCCTTCGTAACAGCGGCTGATTCCGCCTCACTCATAGGTACTTCGAATCTAAGCTTCAATGTTTTAGTTCGCCTAGTTATTTAGGTAAAAATAACTCTTAATCCCGCAGTTATTTCCAAAATTTTTATAGACGAAAACAATTTCAACTTTTATAATTGGCAAGCACCATATGTTGATAATTTAAATTGAAACTATGTTAGTAAAATTACCTTTTTTTCGATTTTTAAAAAAAAATTATAGATGTCTGTTTTTGAAAGGAGGCCTCTCATTTGTTTATTAAATGTAAGATCAATGAGTAATAGTGTAAGTTACTTGAGTAAATATGCACATATAATAAATATTTATTGATACATATAACACTTATATGTATATATACGTGTTATCTGAGTGTATATAACATTATACTTATAATCAGACTAATAATAATAAAACATACGGAAATGAAGAAATGTCAAGAGAAAAAAAAATATATATATAAAAAACTTACTCCTGGTTTTGATGCTGCTATCTGGTCCCAGTGTGTCACAACACCATACAACAAAACTGAAACATGCAATTAAGTATAATTTAAAAAAATAAATAAATAATAGTCCGTAAAAAATTAATAAATAAAAATGTCGAAAAGAATGATTTTAAATTGTTAATTTCATGACGATACTTCATAATATCTAGTACTTATTATTCTTCATATTTTATTATTATTGTAGATTTTTTTCTAGTGATATATATACATTATTATTAATTACTAATTCCATTTCGATTTTAAAATTTTTTTTGGCCTTAGGTAGAGCGTTTAACGGAAGCTTCAGGCTTATTATTATATTCAAACTAAGACCTATAGGAACGGAGGTATAATATTAATATACGGGGAGGTAAGTTTACTGCTCAAACTTTTTAATAAATGTACAATTATTTTTAATAGTTAGAAAATACTGAATTAAGGCGGATTTACTCGTCTTAAATTTATTTTATACTTGTATGTTTTCATACCTGTGATAAATAAATGACTAAGTCAATGCCATAGACCAAATAACATCAGAAATTAATGGTGAAAAATCGAAGGAAAAGGTCAATAAAAAAAAAAAAATTGCTTGACAGAAAGTTTCTTTAGTGCTTTTCAGTGATAGAGCATCTTATTTTTTTTAACTATTTTTTTTTTTGTATTAAGGGAAATGGTATAATTTAAAATATTTAAAGAAACGTTATAATACTTAAGATTATATTTTTGGAACTTTCTAACTATGATAAAATAATTTAAATATCAATGTAAACAAATAATTGACTCATTCTGAAGTAAAATCCTGGCCTTGGGCCTGTTAGAGACAAACTTTTGGATAGGTTGGAGTCGACTTAAATAGCGAAACGTTTTTTCTACTTTCAACTTGCCTGTTGCCTGCTTTAAGAGAAAATCAGATTGTGGAAAAGGAAATATATGTATATCAATAAGTTTTCTTTACTTATTGTTTCTTTTGTTTTTCCTCATGAATTTCAAATATTCTTCAGCTAGTCAAACTTACATATATATAATATATATCTAATATAATATACGTCAAATATATTTAATATATATAAATATGTATATATAATATATTTATAAAATATATATATTAATAATAATATTATATATATATATATATATATATATATATATATATATATATATATAAGTTTGATTAGCTGAATAATATATGAAATTCATACTATTTCTATTTTTAATTTATATATATATATATATATATATATATATATATATAATATATATATATATATATATATATATATATGTACAGAAGGAAGTATAATTGTAGTAAATTAAAAATAGAAATAGTACTATTAAATTATTAGAAACTGGTTAAGTTTACGTTTGTATGATTAGAATCGAATATTAAAGTAAAATAATATCTCTCATATTGAAATACGAACATATACTTTACAACGGAATTCAAACATCGTAATGCATATGAATGTATTTTTTGAAAATACTTAAAAATTTTAAGCGTGATTCATGACGTATGATAATATTATATAACAGTTTCGAAAGGCAAAATGTCAGCCACAGTTATTTCCTGGAATACATTTAAGAGGCTGACATTCAAAGGAAGAGTGGCATTTTACAAAAATAGAATTATAATTTTTGTTTGTATGTACAATCATATTTACATACATATTTACATTAATCAAGAGAAATGTGATGAAGTCGATAATGAAAAATACCAAAATAGTAAAAATTTTTTTTAAATGCCTTCATTTAAGCATGGAGAGCTACACGTTACAAGATGCAGTGAGGTAAATGGGAAAAAATAATTTTAAAAAGTATGTAAATAATGAAAGTAACAAAATAGTAAAATTGAGAAAAATATAAAGGAACATAATCATAACGTGTATAGTTTAAAGGAATATATTTATGACTAGACAGAAACTGTAACTAAACTAAAACTGTAACTAAAATCACTCATGAAATATGAAATTTTAAATTATTAATTTAGATTTAATTAGTTAGTTTTAATTAATTTAGGCAACAAAGTTATGAGATAAATAATACTTCACATCTTTGATGGTATTAGGATGGGAATAAGCAAATGTGATAAATTATAGTAGCATGTCATACTTCACCTATCACAGATCACTTCATCAGATGATTAAATGGCCATTGATACGAATATATAATTATATACTTTATTTGAGCGCCTGAGAACCCACGGCACATGCTATTTAGATGTAAAAAATACAGCAAAGAAAGATAATTGGAATTAGCACCAGACTGAGACGTATCGTTATTACTAAAAAACTCATAAAGAGGAAATATAAAAAAAAAATTAATAAATTATTTATTTGTAGCACATGTTACTGAAAATTGCTGATTATTTCAATGGTTTTTTTTTTAAAGTTTTTTAAAAGAAATTTACAACTGTATAAACATACATCTAGTAAATGTGATAAATAGTAATGTAATGGCTTCGGGGCTTAGCCTAACTCAAATTTCAATGCCCGTTCTTGAAAAAAAAAAAAAAGAAAGTTTATTGGGATACAGTTTAGAAAGAAAAAATGGTGTTTGATTTGGTGGAATAACTTATAAAACTGTAAGAAATTAACCTATAGTTTACAATAAAGGTACAGTAAAATTAATTTATTATCAATTTTGATTTGTATAAAACGATTAAAAAAGCTTTTGATGATTTTTTTTTTATAATATTTAATAAATGCAAGTTTCATTACATTCTTTGATAGAAAAAAGCCGGTTTTAATAACTTTATTTTCTCGCCACTTTTTAAATATTTATATAGGTATTTTATTGAAAAAAAAAAAAATATTGCACCATCGGATTTATTGGGTGCTTTTACAATGGAACCGTAAATTTCTTATCTCGATTTCCAAAAAAAAAAAAAAAAAAGAACAAATTTCACTTTGGAAATAAGAGACTTATATGTAATATAATAACATATGTATTTAAAGCCAATAATACAAAAAGAGTCAATGGCATAAACTTTGAAATTGGAAAGTGTTACATGAACGAAATCAAGGCTGGGTATACATTAGATATTTAAGGGGCTGATGTCTTCCCAATTTCTATTTGTAAGATTCAGTTTTTAATAATTTGAGAACTTCTTACCTTTTAAAATTTAACGTAAGTTCTATACAGGTACTAATATTATTAAATTAATTAAATAATTATTATAAATTAATTAAATATTAATCATAGTTGCTAAGAATAATACCCACATTTAATATTTGTTTTTAATATAGTATTTTGATAATAACCAAATCTCCAGTTATATAAAAGCTCAGTATTATATAAAAGCTATTCACATGGTTTAGACCTGTAGTTCTACACCGATATTAATATTATTAAATTAATTAATTAATATAAATTAATTAAATATTAATCACAGTTGCTAAGAATAATACCCACATTTAATATTTGTTTTTAATATAGTATTTTGATAATAACCAAACCTCCAATTATATAAAAGATCAGTATTATATAAAAGCTATTCGCGTGCTTTAGACCTGTAGTTTTGTACTTGATTCTTCAAAACGTACCCACAATTGCCAAATTAAACTTATTGATTGCATATAGTACGAAGCCCTTTATAATCTCAGCAAGGCTATCGTATGTTACTAAACCCAATAATTCCATAAGTGCTATGATATAGTAAAAAGTATAATAATTCCAGTAAAATATTATCATAAAATAAGAAGCCTGATAAGCTGAGAATTGATATCTTATTGTGATAAGCCCAGTATAATTTTAGTTCATTTAAAATATTTTTCATCATTTTTTTTTCATATATAAAAAACAAAACGGAAAATGTATGTTAATTATATCATCTGCGTTTCTAAACAATAAAGCCGTTATTGCTGAAGTCAAGTATTATGTTTTTCATCAAGAATAACCACTAATAAATAGTTTTATATTATTTTTTTTATTTACGATATATTTGCAACTTAACATTGCAATGCATCAAGCAAATGTGCTATCGTCCGTTCTATCTTTTTATTTCTTTATAATTATAAATGCGTGTTAATTCATTAAAAATGTTTGCGCCTTTAACAAAAATTAATTTAATTTTACGGTTTTTCTTGGAATAATTTTAGATAGTTATTAACGTACCTATTATGTTTTCCAATAATTGGGAATTATTTTAATTTTTTTTAGCCCCTGATCAGCATCAGTAAATGATGGAAGTGGATCGGTCGTCATTAAATGTGAAATAAAAATAAATGGAGGGATATCGGACGAGCCACCTCATGTATCTTTGAAAATGTGAATCAGTATAATTTAGAGATTGTTTTGATTTAAATCAGCCTTATAAGCAATATTTGTTATGAATTTCTTACGGTTAGAAAATTCTTACATTTTTAAACTTTTTTTATTATAATTTGTTGACTCTAAGGCCTAATCCTATATTCCTTTTACACTCCTGATATAGCTGAGCACCATAGCAATCCGGCTTATACATCAATTGTCCTACGACACCATTTACATGACCAAAGTAGTTATATAGATGGAAAATAAAAATTAACGCTTTTAAATCTAAGTCGTGTTTTTTTTTCAGAAAGGTTTCATGGCCACCTTTAACAATCGACAACAACCCATTACCAGCAAAAAACTAGATACAGTTACTTGGAATCCACTAAGACAAGACTTACTAGGAAGATTCATATGAAATCAAAAATACAAGAACTGACAGGACTATATAAATAAATCTTAGGGATGACAGAACCTCATCCTCGAGCGACTAATCTACACACTATACCTACCGATACCAATTTAGTCATCAGCAAAACAAACATATATAAACTAGAGAGAAATACTTTATTTTAATATTAATGCGTGCTGTCCTATTATATTGAGTTGACTGCATACGCAGCATAGTTATTTCTTAGACAATCAATAAAACTTCTACATAAATATATAGAAATAGTTAAATGAGTATAATATATATATATATAAAATTTTTTTTCTCCTTTCATTTTTTTTAAACATTTAATTTCCCTTTCTCTTCATCTCTCTTATATTCTACTAGTATTAAAATGTTTAA